ATAGTGACTGCTCTACAGAAGAACAGCACTTCAAGAAACACAAATTTCTCTTTTAACGCTTAAGGAAAGTCAGAACAATCCTTCCCCTCCATGATCTCAGGTTCTCTTTTCACACCCCTCCATCAGATCAATACACAGAGGTCATATAAATGACGTTGGATCTTCACTTGCAGCTACAGTAAACAGCGTGTCATGCCTGCTGCAGCCAGAGCTCTGCTTTCAAACAAGAGAACCGGGCAGGATCACCTCATTTGGAACGCGACCAAACAGTTACCGCAGGGCAAATGGGTATTTTCTGCTCAACTGGCTCCCGCCTCGGAGCGACGGTTACAGTGAGGAGGTGGGGAGGATGAGATTTATATGGACATTCAGGGATCAGCTGAGAGCACGGGGAGAATAAATGGTCAGCAATTGTTTGGTTACTGCGCACTTCAGCTCGACGAATTGCAGAAGCGGCCCCTGTCATATCGCCGATAAACAAGTTTCTGCGGCACATCTGAGATCGCATTGTGCAGATAGCAGTCATACCTGCAGCGGACTCCACTCTGAGTGATCTCACGTGGAATGTTTCCGTCTGTGCTTTAGCGATCCTGTGCTACCGGGTCACCACACACATCTTTGCAAACTGGCCCGCTTTAAACTATGTGCAAGGAAAGTATTGGTTCCAGGCGCTTCCTTAGTTTATGTTTGCCACTGCATCGTCATCCTTGTTGTGAGCGCAGGACTGGGTAAAACATAATTTATCATTGGCCATCTGGAGCTCACAATGACATTTAGTATGCATGTAGCGTTCTAATTTTATTTTTTTAAAGAGCTGCGATAAACAGGGGTCCTTTTCCGCACCGTAGGCAAAAACCTACTTCTAACAGTTCAACATCATGTTGGCATTTATTATCTTTCTGGCAATTTGGTCACTAGAGCGTTTACAAAACTGTGCAAGGAAATGAGAGATCAGAATAATCAAGATTGGAGAAAAATGACTAAATAGAAATTAGATTTTCATTTATCAGCATAGTTATGGCCTGAATCATAAAATCTAAAAGGTGATTTTCCTGCTTTTACTGTGTTTACCACATGCATCATTTATGCCAGCGAATACTTGCAAATGTATCCATACTTCTGGAGCTTTTCTTCACACTTTGTCACTTTCCAAGCATTAACATCAGCCTACGGCATTGACTAACACAAAGAAGTGAATTATTATGAATTGGATAATGACCTGTCTGCTGCATTCTGGGTTTTTCAAGAGGTTGTTCACTGATGTCTAATAACAACAGAATGTTTCGTTTATTAAATTACACATAAGTGAGAGTTGTTTGCCAACCATGATGAACGTTCTTAAGACAAATTGTTGCAATGGATTTTACTAAACAAAGACGGGAGAAAAATGCACCAAGCACTTTATTAAATCTTTTTGTACAGAAAATATTTAAATATTGTGTCTTTTCAATTCCACTTGTCAAGAGTGTGCTACTTTGTGTAGGTCTGTCACATAAAATCCCATCAAAATACGTTAAATCTTGTGGCTGTAAAGTGAAAAAATGTGAAACAGTTCAGGGGGTTTAAATACTTTCGTAAGGCACGCCTGTTTTTCCTCCAACTATGTCGATTTAAGTGTATATTTTCCAAATTTGAAGACTGATCTTAGTGAGAGAGACTCTGGGCACTAAGCACATCATAAAGTTAGCTTTTTTGTGTGTTTAACTAGAATCTGGCTATAAAATAATGCACGTATTGTTGAAACAAACCTGATTATCTGCTGATGGAAGGCAGTAAAACTTAACGTGCACGGTAATGGAGATCAATAGAGCTGCAGGAGAGAGCAGCAGCATTGCAGCACTGCTCCGTGTTGCAGACTCTCGGTTATTGTTTATGTGTTTGACCAAAGAAAGCCCACTCCACTCCAAGTGTTTTCACCTTTCTGAAGCTCAGAAATCACTCAGGCAGATCTTACAGGACTATGTGATGAGCTCCTGGATGTGAGCCAAAAAAACATAAAATAAAAAGCAGCGGACTTAAATCACTCGTCTCCAAGGTTGAAAGCGACAAAACACTTAACCGCTTTTCTCCGACCGTCCCCTGAGCTGCAATTCATCATCTCAGCCTGTGCGGTCCCTTTGTGTCCAGCAGGCTCAAATTTTACACCCTGATGGCCGCACAGCGCTCTGACCACCGGCCGGCTCTTTTTCAATTAGCAGCTTTCGGTTTGATCATTATCACCCGGCGGTGTGTCTGTCTAAGTTTAGTTTGGTAAAATGACCTGCGTTAACTCATATGTATGTTCTAGGGCTGATCACTAATGTTTTCTAAACCAGAGGAGTCACAGTGAGTCCACAGTGCACACATAGCACTATTTATTCACATGCGTTCACTCTGAGCTGACCTGCAGCCCATTCACTGACACCAGTGAAAAGAAGAAAGGATGTAGATCTGAAGAATCAGATGGCTGAACGAACAATGCTGAACGGTTTCCCATCTTCTTAACATCTTACCACCATAGGCACAATCTGAGGTTTAAATGACTAATTTTGTGTAGTATTGCTGATGAAAGCACATCAACTTTACTTTAATGACATGACCTCTTGTATTTCTCTTGTTGAAGAATGACTAACAGAAGTAGGCCGCGTCTTCATCAAACAGGAAGTCGTGTAAATAAAATTCCTAAATATTGTAATCATTCTAAAAAAAGTACAAAATTTACATTCAGTGATATTTATTTTGAACTGTAGGGGGTATCGGTAGGTGGAACTGGTGATTTAGTGAAAAATAATACAATGTTTTTATGTTTTTTAAACTTTTCTGTCTACTAAATAATTCCACACAAAGTGAGTTTTTTTTTAGTAATTTGTCCAATGAGCAAATGCATTGCTGCAATAAAATTGCTTTGTTTTAGCTTAAGACTTTCTGCACCTCGTTACCAAAGAAGCCTATAATAGTCTATCTGCTTTGCTTTACATATATTTTACTACATTTATCTTCAGAAAGAGAAACCTGCAGTAGTTAAATACCTAACACTACCTTGATGTCAGCTATAATGTTTAAGTTCCTGTTTGTTTTGAAATGTGATTGTTCTTCATAGCTGTTGCTTATGGTGACCAGCACAGCTGTCCTCAATCAATAATCATCCTCTCCGGTGTTTATACTTCCTGGTGTTCTATGTGTTTTAGCTCCTTTGTTTCCTGTTTGCTCATCTTGAGCTGCTGTGCTGCCTGAGGTTTGACACGTTTCTCTTTCCTTCAATTGCTATTCAATGTCCAAAGTCTCTGAAAACTAGAACCTGCCTGCTTTTGAGTCTGTCATCTTGACACGACACAGAGGAGACAAAAAGGAGCACAAGTTGCTCTGACTTTAGTAATCACAGGGAGGCAAACGAGGATCCTGACTGCTTTCTGCCGCCTTTGTCCACCAGATGTCGCTCACGAGCAGGAACAAGCAGCTTAGTGTCGAGGATGAAAACGCAGCAAAGACGAGCTGATTATTTTTACATGTGCATCATTTTGGAGAAGGTTTGAAAACAAAGTAAACTTTCAACATGGGGCTTTACGGGTAGAAAGTGAAACAAAATGTTCTAAAACCAAAGTCACACAAAGGTTATTGGTTGAACTGGGGGGGAGAGGAAATGCTGGTGTGGTTTGGAGGAGTTTTGCTTTCACTTCAGATTCACCCTCTTACATGTTGAATTTCCCTCTATACATTTGCACAGTGACTTTTTTAATGCATTTTATTATGGACCACCACAAAGGACAATATGAGGAAGTGTAAACATGTGATCTACCCCCATGAATCTTTGCATTGTCAAAAGGCCTTTGCTGCAATTTCAGCTGCACATCATCTAGACTGTTTCTAACAGTCTTGCACATATACAGAATGGCTTTAAAGAAAAATTTAATACACGATGCTACAAAACGTGTAAAAGCATATGCAGGCTAGTTTTCTGCCACACACAATTTTGCATGTAGCCCACATCAGTTCCATGTGTTTTCGGAGGCCGCTACAGGGAAAGAGGCTAACTGAACACCAGATGTGTGCCTTTCTTCCTGCCACTCTCAAATGTGAGAAGAGACCGATCGATAATCTAGTTTAGCTGGATTCTCTTGTGGATAGCTGCAGCTCCTCCAGAGCTGCCACTGGCCTCTTGGCTGCCTCAGTTGTAATCCTAACCCCGGCAGGCAGCTCTCGGTGGTCACACGCTTTCCACTTTCAGATGTTGAATTGGAAACTTATCTGCGAGTGAACGCCAAACCTAATGCCAAGGCGAACTGGCTGAACTTTTCATCAAATGCAGAAAGAATGAAACGTGATTCTAAATCACAACCTGCCTGTTCGTTAGGCAGCATTTGTGTCCTGTATGGGTTTTAACGGCTCACAGGAGTTGACTCCTGATGAGCTTTGACGTTGTGTGTTTCTTGGAGCGTAATCGCATCAGAAACTATCCCATATCTTCATGCAAAAGCCCTGACAGGTTCATACTTGCTGCTGCCATCAAGAGGCGAGAAGGCTGGAATGCTCCAGAGGGGGAAACCTAAAATGAAGAGCCAGTCAGAATTTTAGTTTCATGACCCGTTTCTCTTGTTCGTTTCACAGCTGCCGGTTCTCTGTTTTAGTTTCAGACGAGCTTTTTAAGAACCACAAACACCACCGGCTTCAATTAAAGCAGTGCATAATCTCCCACATGGGCTTCATCGCTCTTTAATTACAGCAACTCCCTTCTCTCTGCTCCTTAAGCTTCACCCGTTTGGAGGATGTTATCGCCCCTGCCCTGCCTCCCCTCCTCTGCTTAATCCCATCTTGTTCTCCTGTGGTCGAGTGGGAAATTCGGAGAATTCTTTTCAGCGACCACACCATGCTCTCAAGTCACGTGTTCTGCTTTTAATCCCCCTCCTTCCTGTCCTTTTCCTAAATAAGGAATTTCAATTTTAGTGAGGAAACAAAGTTGGAGCCCTATGGGCGGGTCATGGAGTGAAATGAGAGGGTCTGAAGGCGTAACGGTTTGCTCTCTCTCTCTTTTGTCACAGACGGGAGGTGTTTGTAATACTTGTGCTGGCAGCACACTTTGCACCGAGCCGTGAAGGGAACAGGAAAACACAGCAGCACAAGGCCGAGTTTGTTTCTATCCACCTGAAAGCAGCAACACAACGTGAGTAAAATCTTGGTTTCCTTTTCAATCTGAGATCTTTCTGGTAGTGTGGATCCCTTTTTCTTTGCTGTGGATTAAATACAGGGAGAATGAGAAGAGTTCAATAATTCAAGCACCCCACCCTCTTTCTTGCTCCCATTGCTTCTTTCCTTACTGTGTAATTATACACAGGTTTGGAGAAAAGTTTCATGTATTCCTTCAGATTCAACCACTTCAAGTTGAAATGGTCTATTTTAGCCATCTTTTGTTTCACACACTGAAACGCAAGAGTCTAATTCAGAAAGTAAATGCAGAACATTATCCATCATGTGCCTCATGTCAAGCATGAGGTGTTTTTTTTTTTTTTTTTTTTTGCAGTGTGTGTGTGAGAGAAATCAGGTCTGGGAGAAACTAAACAAAAGCTGTTATCGGCTTCTTTAGTTTGAGAATATAGTTATGTGATCTTCTCAAACTCTGTTGCAACCACAAGTAAGTTGTGTAACGCTTCATTTAACGGAAGATTGCAAGTTGTGACATGAGAGCGCTGGTGCACATGAAAGCACAGACGGCGTTGCAGGGTCTTCTGAGTTTCAGGTATAAAGAATCATCGTTAGGCAAATGTATGTGCAAATGTGTTTAACACTTGGAACAAATGTTTGAATTTGTCACTTTTATCTGACAGAAAAGCAGGTGAGATTTAACGTTTGATAATGACTTGATGCAGACCTGTTGAATATTAACTATGGAGAACTTTCAGTAAACTCATAACGTGATTTGAAACAATGACTGTAAACTGGTTCTGAAACCATAACTTTTTAAAGAAATGAACTTGCACCACTTCTGCATTTTGACGTACTAAAATGATACGGGAGAGGATTAGTGCCACAAAAACATAATCTGGGTTCTGATTGTCTCCTAATCCAAACCAACATTCTTAGGCGTGTCACTTATGTGATTATTTTTACATGATGATATAACTATTTCATTTGTCAAAGCTTTTGTAAAAACGCACTTTATCCACACTGAAAGCTTTGAGTTTTAAGACTAGATTAACTTGATGGTGCATAAACAAGTCTGAGATTAGCCATAATCCTCTTCTGTACAATATGTCTAAGATTTTAGACTGTTTTTTTTCTGGGTGTAATAAATTTATATCAATGCTGTAGCCCCTCTCCCACCTGTTGCTGAGTACAACTGCCTGAAAGACTTCTTTGCCGTATAAGAATGAAAGTTTAACTATTTCCACTCATAAATAGTGAAAATTTATTTTAGTTTTTCTGAAAATAAAATAAAAACTAAAAGTGCTCCTTTTAAATGTACTTCAGCAGAAAGTCTGACTAGTTTATATAATTTGTTTTTACACTAAAAGTGTAATAATGGATAATGAGAAACTCAACATGTTGTGAGTTTTAAATTTATATAAATTCTGAACAACCTTCTCTCCTAGATATTACATCTGTAATGTTTTTGATGAGAGTTTGACACTTGTTTTTTTCTTTTCTTTTTAAAAAAAAAAAAACAAAATTAAAAAAGAAAAAAAATCCTGTAGATTTTTCTTTTAGCACTTGATACTGAAACTATAAAATTGCAATAAATTTGCTTCTTTGTCTACACAGTTTTTTTTTTTTATCATGCTTTAAATAAAGCCACGCCGAAACGTACCAAAGTCCAACACTTAAACACACAACTGGCTTGGAAACAATGCAATTTGCTCAAAAAGTGCTGCGTAATCTGAGTTTATATTGACTTTGTCATCCTCGATTTCTCACTGAGATTAAGTCCTGATGTTTGCAGCTGCAGCTTGTTAACCCAGGCATGCCAGAACATCCCTGATGAAACTCCTCCGATTGAGAAACACACTTTGGATGTTTTTGGGATTTTTCTTTTTTTACACTTGTTGTTGCAACAAACTAGTGGAATAATTTAGAGGACAGGAAGAAATCCATCTTGTGTGTAACCACTGAAACCAAAAAAAATGGAGACGATGTTCAAGTGATCTTTAGCTGTTTCTGTGAGGACGATACATCAAGCTATCATCACTTATTGTGCAAGTCTGACGAGTGTCTTGTGTTGCAATGGACAAAATAGGTGTGTCTTTCTGCACCAGAGAACCTAATACGTCTCATGGATCAAATTTAAAGCCAATCCTCCTGCAAAAACCCACAAGTGCATACTTGCATTGATATTTACTTACAAAAATCACCACTTTTTGTGTGTGCACCATTTAAAAATACCCAGGAAGACTTTCCCATCACTTCTAAACATGTGCAAAACGTTATCTGTAGTCATGGAAATCCAGAAATTGCAGGATTTTGCATCCTTGGCCCGCTTCTACACAGGCTGAGTATTGTTACAATTTAGCAGGCTGAATGCAGTGTTTGTCATTTTGAAGCCTGTTCCCATAGTGACAACTGTAGTGTTTTGTTTAGATTCCTCCATACACATAGCTACGTTTGTCAGGAAGGGGGGAAGGAAGTGACAGCAGAGCGAGCAAACAGGATGCAGGGACCAGGGCGGTTCAACAGGAAGTTCATACAGCATTAATAACTGAGATAGGCCAGCCACAATTACTCGCAGAGAGCAACCGGGTTGTAATCCGCAAGACATCCATCACTTTAATTTTCTCGTTTGTTGGCTAATTACACTGCCTTGGCCTGGATAATGAAAACACCACCACTCATTGTTTTGGACATGATTTACAGTCGAAAGTTAAATGTGTTTTGCATTGTAGAAAAGGAAACGGACTTTATTCTTATAAAGTTTCCAGAGAATTCATTGTCTCTCATTCTTCCTTTTTATTGAGAGAGCAACTGGTTTTATCTTCATAGTTTAATGTACAGAAGATACTGCAGTGAAAGTGGCTTTCGAAATCGCATGTACGCTTTCGGTGCATTCTGACTACAAACTGGATTACGTAAAACTAATTTATCTAAATTCAAAATCTATTTAAATATGGCAGTGTGAGTTATAGTCAGAGTCCTGTGTTAGTCAAACAAAATGGCACAAATTTAGATTCGATTAACAATGTGCTTGTGTAATTTTTGTATATTGCTACGTAGTTTCAATTGGATTTAGATCTGGACTTTGACTGGGCCATTCCAACACATAATTATTGGATCTAAACCTTTGGTAGATGTTTATTTAGGACACTGCTGGACAGTGAACCAATCTCTAGTTTCCTATAAGACTTTTTTCAGGATCAAACCATCCACTCTGATGAGTGCTAAAGCATCCCACAGCATGATGCAACCACCACCATGTCACAGCGAGAGGAGAATGAGGTGTTCAGTGATTTGTAGTGTTAATTTAGAAAACACTCCACGTTTTATATGGCTTATTGCAAACCCTTAACAAATTTTCTAATGTTTTCAAAGATTAGAAAAAATGTATATTAAAGCGTACAGACATTCCAAAATTGGGAGAGGGGAAGTGAGAACAAAATACTTCTGCCAGGCATTATATATCCGAAAGAAACTCTTCTAATGATTTAAAAACTACAAAAGAAAGTTATGTAATCCCAAATAGCATAGAAATCTTGGCTCAGTCTTGGGTTTTGGGTGTGCACAGTGCAAACATTTGGTTGCAAATGCTGCAATAACATGGACACGCCATCCTGCACAGATGTAAGGTTAATGAATTACCAGCTTATCTAACTCTCACATTGACACCCAACAGGACCAATATGGCCAACAGGGGTCCAGCGTACGGCCTGAGCCGCGAGGTTCAGAGCAAGATTGACAAGAAGTACGACCCGGAACTGGAGGAGAGGCTGGTGAAGTGGATTATTGCCCAGTGTGGCCCCAACGTTAAAGAGCCCGAGAAAGACAAGGCTGGCTTCCAAATGTGGCTCAAGGATGGATGTGTGAGTGTTTGGTCTGCGGGAATGTAATTATCTAAATAGGACTTAGTAAATCATACTGGTGGCAGTGTTAATGAGAGGTATCTGTTTCCTTCTGTTTAGGTACTGTGTGAGCTCATCAACAGTCTGTATGGAGCCAACAAACCCATTAAGGCCATTAAAACCTCCAGTATGGCCTTCAAGCAGATGGAGCAAATCTCCATGTTCCTTAAAGCCGCAGAAAGCTACGGAGTCATCAAAACGGACATGTTCCAGACTGTAGATCTTTATGAAAGTAAGAAAATCAGCCGACGCCGACTGAAATGTTTTAGCAGAGTTATTATTAAATTATTATGTGATTTAGAATTATTATTCAGAGACTAAAGTTCAGGTCCATTTCTTCCTCTTGAATGTGTTCAAATGGGACTGTTGCATATTTGCAGGCAAAGACCTGGCTGCTGTCCAGAGGACCCTGCTGGCCCTGGGTAGTTTGGCTGTCACCAAGAATGATGGGAATTACAAAGGAGATCCTAACTGGTTCCCCAAGTGAGTTTAACACTTTTATTATCCTGGTGACTAAATCCAGACAAAAGAAAAGCCTGAGGTGCTGATAATTGTGCTTGTATGTGTCCAGGAAGTCGCAGGAAAACAAGAGAGATTTTTCAGAGGACCAGCTGAACGAAGGCAGGAACGTCATCGGCCTGCAGATGGGCACAAATCGAGGAGCATCTCAAGCTGGTATGACGGGCTACGGACGGCCGAGGCAGATCATCAACAACAACCCCTAAAGCAGGGCGGGTTTCCTATAACCCTCTGAGGTCCTACGAGGAGAAGCTATGACTCTGACTTTGGCCGTGAAGAGAAAACTGACCTGACTGGTCAAGAAAAACTGGACCAAATTAGGGACCAAAGAAAACCTGAGCACATATTACATTGAGACCTTAAGCTGATTTTTGAAGCTTGGTGCATTGTAGATTTGTAGCTACACCTCTGCTTGTCTCCTGTGAATTACATTTTGAAATTCATTATGTTTCATTCACAACAAATTTCTAAAATCAGGTTTCTGTGGGAAAGTTATGAACAAATGCCATCTTGCCTGTACTGGGTAAAACTTAAAGATTTTATCTGATTCGTTTTCATGGAGGCTAATGATAAATTTTGGCCCTATCTGGATTAACTGTTAGCTACAGGAAAGGCTACCCACTGAGAAATGGTAGAAAAATACTTCTTACGGGTAAGAGACTGACGGCTCATAACCTCTCCACAAAAACCCGAATGCAAACATTTACGATTGATTTATTTGTCAGTGTGGCCAGAAAACATGTTGAGCAACGATCAGTTCTCTGTTCTCCTCTCTGATGTTCCACTATTGTAACAGGACAGCTCTTAAAAAAAAAAAAAACAAACAAAAAACAATAAAACTTCACCGGGTGGTGCATTCAAGGACATGCCTAAGTTTGCAATGAAGGAATCTACCATTTATTTATTAGACATCAAGTTACCATCTGCAAGAGTTGACTTTCTGGCAGTGTCATCAATTTGTTTTGAACGTCTCTGTACAGTTGTGAAGGTACTATGAGACAAATCAAAGGTCATCGTATTATAACTCAGCATGGAGGGAAATCTCAGCAAGAGAGCAAACACAGTAAATTGCAGGATATGTGACCCATTACTTCCCAGGAGCAATTTTGAGTCTGTGCTTTAAAAAAAGTGATCAGATATTCACACCCCTTAAGTTTTCTATCTTGTTCCAATAAGTAAATCCAATTTACACAACTAAGCCTGTGATGCCTTTGTGAAAACATATTTTTAAGTGGCAAATTTTTTTTTTGGAGTTATTAACTGGAAACAAGAATATTTGCTTTCTTTACCATGTAGAAACTGAGCACAGATGTGTCGGGTTTCCACTGATTATGCTTCTGATTCTTTACTTGATTTGAATCTTTGTGGTTAATTCAGCTGACTGAACAAATTTATCTACATAGGGTTTCGCAGCTGAAAGTGCACATCAGAGCAGAAACTCAAGAAATGGAGAAAAGGAAATTGCAGTCCTCCAAAAGCAGATCATGTGAAGTAAAGTCTCCATTATTTAGCAATGGAAGAATATAAAATACAAGGCCATGCACTTCCTGTCACCTGGTAAAAACCAGTCCCTTGTTCTACAATTTTCTTTATACAAAGTTTGAACTCACCTATTAAGAATCAATCATTTGTCCACTTTGACACTACAAAGTTTATCAGAAATGGCATGGATTGTAAACAAACATCCTCCAGACCTAAATCCATCTAAAGATCTAAAAATGGCTGCCAACAGCCATCCATCCAACCCAACTGACCTAAAGCAGATCTGTGGAAGAAAATAATGGGTGCAAAATTGCAAACCATGCTTCCACAAATTAAGTAATAAGTATAAACATATTTGAAACATTGTTGGTAATTTTTTAGCAACGAGAAACATACATCTGTGCATTAGTTTTGTCTCATGACAGGAAACTGTAGTGCCTTAACAACGCATCGTTGCACCTGAAACTGGAGTTCATACATTTCTGCAAGCAAGCCGATTTCTAAATATGTTTCTTTAAAGTGTGGTACTTTTGGTCACGAAGCTTTAAGGAAAAAGTAAATGTGGGTTACTTTTAGTTATCTCTTATGATGCAATCTTCTCTGGCTGGTAGACTGTGGAGAACCTGATCCAGTGGTAGCAACGGATGAAGCAATGAGTCCGTGACAACCACCGCTTTAAACTTGAACCGGATCTCTACTATAGATCCGCAGATGTGACGAGATCTGACAAAACCAAAACATCCCCGAAAGCCGGGAGGACAGAGCAGGCAGGAGGGTGTTATGATGGACTTTGCCTGTTTGGATGAAATGAGATGAAAAAGCAGAGGGGGATTCAGAGGAGGAATACTGATTCCCCTGCCAAGGTTCTGTTTACACTGTTTTCACTTTTAGATCTGTTCAAGCAAAGTTCAGCCTGAACCAGTTCAGAGAAGGGACAAAGACAAAAGAAAAAGTGATGAAAGCGTACAAAAGGAGGACAAAGCAACATCTGATAAGAAAAGATATTCCAAAGAAACATAAAGTGCTATTTCAGAAATAGAAACATCCAGATGGACTCAGGGGAGAGCATGGAGGTTGAGGTCAGACATGAGATAGGTTAAGACAAAGAAGGGTTTCAGAAAGCAGAGGCGATTCCCGAAAAAAGCAGCCGCCGCTGCATGAAGAGGGTTAAAAAAAGACGTACCTTCCTGACCCCCACAATGAACAGGATACAATGCGAGCACCGACACACAAAGGAATAATAAGTCCATGCACTTCCTTGGATGACACATTCTTTTAATCATTTCTTCCTTCTGCAGCAGAATCCACAGCTGTGGTAAATCAACTAGACTCAAAAGTTATATTACTCAATGGGTGTTTACAATGCATGAAGATAGCCAAAAGGGACAGAAGCCATTTGAAAACCTGAAATCACATTCACAGAATAAGGCAGCACTATTTTACAGTGCCCTGTATATACATGCTCATTTAATTTGTCTTTATTTATTCATGCTCATTTAATTTGTCTTTATTTTCATCCAGAAAAATCTACTGAGGATTTGTGGGCTGTGGGAGACATGAGTATCGGGGCAGAACCCCTCCATGCACAGGAACATCTTTTCACACTGCAAACAGAGATAAACAGAGTTAAAGGCAGTTCTAAATGCAAACGCAAGACACAATGTTCATATTTTTATTTGTGCATTATATCACTAACCTTGAATCATTATCCTTCTGTGTTACAACAAGCTGCTGCTTTGTGTTGGTGTGTCTCATAAAACCCAATGTACAACTTGTTACAGTTTGTGGCGCAAGATTGACACAATATGTAAAAGGTTGGAACGGGTTGGCAAAGTTCTGTAAAATCTCACCAAAATTTGGCAGTGTGGTTTATTTTTTTTATGTAAACTCACGCAAAACAGGTTTCGACAGAGTCTGCCATGTGTTGAACAGGTGCGTCTCGCCCAGTAACTACTGAATTTAAGCACCAGTTCCACCAGGACCCCACAAAGATAAGGAGGCACAAATGGATGTTTTATTTTATCTGTTGCATTAGTTTTTGCTGACTAACTTGTGGTACTACCCATGGGTGCTCAAACTTTCCCTGTGACTAGTTTAGCTTTACAAAGCCTAACTAATCCCTCAAATCCCAACCGAGTTCGGCAGGAGGCACAGCGGACGTGGAGCAACAGCAAGACAAAGCCTCCCCTGTTTAAACAGGAAGCTCAAGCCTCTTCTTCCTGCAATTGTCATCAATGTGGAATATTTCTCCATGACGTGGTGGCAAGAGCAGATGTGAAGCATTCTGTTTATTATTATCATTATATAACGGTAAAGAGACGGCAAACAGAGAGAAAAGGTTAAAAGCGTTTTAAAAGGACTTGTGATGATGTAACCAAGTCTTATCTCTGCAAACAAGTTTCTTCATGCCTTGGACTCTGAACTATGAGAGATAACAGTTCCTCTGTATCATCCTGAGTTACTCTGAGAGGTGTTCGTTTTAATCTATCCGATCGCCTCATGGCCGTGTCTGTGACGACAGCGAGACAGTGAAACAGCGAAACAACAACATTCATTGAGATCCTTGGAGATTTTGACGGCGCTCGGCCCCCTCCTCTCGGCCCCCTCCTCTCGGCTCGGCGGCATTTGTCATCTGCTCCACTAGAGAAAATAAAACTTTGTACACATCACTCATCAGTCTTTCTTTCATTAGGAAACGAAAACTATATTCTAGTGCTTCTCCTTTTCGCTTACACAAATCATGTTTAGTGGTGACCTGTGACCAAAGAACCACGATCTCAAAGACGAGAAAGATGATCACAGGTGACACATTCTTTTAATTAAAAAAATCATTAGAAATGATTCTTAATGATTCTTTTAATCATTTAAAAGAATGATTAAATGATTAATCATGATTAAATGATTAACACACTCCTCAACACACACTTGAGGAGCTGTGAAAGGGATTTGTCCATCTGATTGTGCTTTTTTCCCCCACCTACTTCAGGTTGTCAGTTTGTTGTAATTAGTTGAAGAAACTCAAGGTGTGACAGTGAAATTGTAAATTAATGATTTCAAAAAGGAGCGATTACTTCGGATTATTTTTTTTCCCCTTAGCCGACATTTAAAAACTGAAAGAGACAATATTCCACAACGGCATCAACCATTGGCTGCCAAGCACAGCTCATCCATCTCATTTGCCTTTGCTGTTCCTTTAAATCTCTGTCTGGATGTACAATCAGACAACCAGGCTCAGAGATGTTGGAGTTGGGGATGAAATCTTTGCCTGTTGTGATCAATGGAAGAGATGGATTGAACTTCCTGCTTCTCTTTGGTCCTGCTCTGCCTCCACAAAAACCTCTTTGCTCTGGGATTTGAGGTCATAGTTCAGGTATCATTTGAGATGCCAATCAGCTACACCCAGTTGTGAAAACAAGACCTTGTTGCCACAGTTACAGACCCCAACAACCGGCTCAAACTAACTTATCAGAGGCTGCCTGACATAGAAGAGAAGGCGCGTACAGAAAAAGAAGCTGCGACTCTTTATTTTGTATCCAAGCCTGCGCTAGAAGATACAATCTGCACAAGCTTCAGCAAGCCCCTCCTGATCTAACATGATTTGTCCGGAACTTCATGAGAAAACAGAGACTGGTGCCTTCAGAGCCACCTGGTTTATAGAAGCTGACATTCCAATTCAACCACCTCAGACTTAAAGTAAACAGAAGTCAGGGCGCTGTCGTTTGGCAGAGAGCTCAGATCGGCTCTGCAGCTGCAGGGTTTGTCATTCATGGCTTTCTCTGTGACATCAGCTACGAACAATCAAACCATCTTAAATACTCCCAGAACAAAGGAGGTGATTTTGAAAGGAATGGGAGTAGATTTATTAGTGGAGAAAAAAACAAAAACATCGTTACCTGATCACAGCGCAAGCGATTTCGTGACAACTTCAGGTCTATACGGGGATCTACTTAAGCAAAGTTAATCCAAGTCTTATGAGTAAAATATCTCCCATTTATAAAGACTTCTATAAAAGTCATTTATAAAGACTTTCACAAAGGGCAAAACCAACAGTTTACCTGCAGTCAGAATCTAATAAAAATATTTCTGGAGAAAAACATTCAGAAAATTGGCCCTTTAACATGCAACAAGAGCAGACCTGCAGCATGTAGAAGCACTGAAAGCACGACAAGCAGGAGAACTGCACTGCTGAGCAGTGTGTTGTGCACTATGCACATTTACAACACAGCAGACTGCAAATGCAACAGGTAGAGCCTGCAAAAGGGGAAACAGATGGAGTTTATTTGATAGAGAAGATGATGCAAAAGTAAGGAAGCAAACAGTTTATTATCTACTTTTCGAAACTCCAGTTTTAGTTGAATCTGACCAAACGTTTGCTGCGTCCTCCGCACCACAAATAGGACTTTACCGTTCAGGAGTGTCAGATTAAATCAGGCAGGACAGAAACAGGGACCACCTTTCAGATTTTTACGTGTGAAACGATTTTAGCATCATTTTCCATCCAGTTCACAATCATGCACTCATTTGTGTTTGCTTTTTGCATGAAATCCCAGTAAAAACACTCACTATCAGTTTTCAGTCTGTCGTGGTGAATCTCAATAATCATCTTTTAGACAAATGTACTTAATCTGAAATCCATCTGTTGTGCTTGAATCATTTCTGGTTAATTTTTGTTTATACTTTCAGCTTTGTCCTTTCAGCAGATCTGTGCTGCTGAGATGTTTTCACTTTGCCACAGCTTTTAATAAAGGTGTGAAAACAGGAAGACATCATCAGCCTGAAGATTATTGCACTCTGCTGCTATTTACTGGCATGTCAGAGGCTATAAAATTGGCCCTCAGGCCAGAGAAGCAGGAGACGTTTTCGACTTTAGAGATCCCAGTTTGAAACGAGGGGGCCGCGATAAAACGTTCTTAATCCTTCAACGCCTACTGGGCACAGAGCTGCTAAAGTCCACCGCTCCTGCTGTACCAACAGGAGACAGATCTTCCCTCTGAGGAGGTCATTCGAGGGTTGCAGATTGATCCAACTCATGTGGTTTCAACATTTGTTTTTCACCCGTGTCAAAAGCGGAAGGTTACAGAACAGTGCGCGGGAGCAAAGATAAGAAACCATCTGCATGTGACTTCTGCAAAAACTTCCATACAAAGACGTTTCTCGGTGATCTCAGTGTGGTTCTTGGACTGAAACTAATGCCGCACTTAGTAAAGTCAAAACATCAGGACTCTGAGTGACGCAGTGGAAAAAACTGTCACACATCACAGCAGATCTCTGGCCTCAACCCTTGACTGTCTGGCTGAAGCATGAGAGCGAATAACGTCCTATTTGCTGCTTTAGCGCCTCCTAGTGGCTGCTCTCACGCAGTCTGTGTCTGTCACACCTGCTTCTGAGGCACACAATTACTGAAAAAGTGCAAGAATTGGACAAGAATTAACATTTGGAAGATTGCAATCAGTTGACTGGTCAAGCCTTCATAGCAACACCAAGTCATAATATTGACGAGTTTCAGTCAGACAGAAAAGGGGAAGTGAAATCAAGAGAATAAAATAAGCACTACAAAGGAAATATATATTTAAAGGCCACATAAATGAGGACATTAATTCACAGCAAGTGTAGTTCTGGGCTTTTTATGACTATGTGCAGCAGATGGGGATCAAAGGTCACCAAGGAACAGCTCAACAGGCTAGAGTCAGGAGACGATCAGCCGGGGTAAAATGTTAAAGGGAAGTCAGTCAGTAACCTAAAAAATAGTGTCAACAGATGTATCACAGGAATCCTTCTTGTGATTAAGCTCATCTAAAGGATTTAACGACACTTGAGGGATCTGTTTGAAGGACAGGAAGTACGCTTTTGGCCATATAAACGAAGATAAACACATCAAAAATAATACAGTGCCTTGCAAAAATGGAAGCACCTCACCTTTGTCATAATTTGTCGCCTTACAAATGCAAAAGATGAATGTATTTTAATAGAATTTTATATAAAGCAGCGAAGTATTTACTTCAAAACAAGTAGAAATCTAAAAGGTGGTGGTGTGAATTGGTAATTAGATCAGAAATACTCCAAAAAACTTTAAATAAAAGCCAATCAACAGCTGTACTTACAGTAATTTAACCTGAGTATAATCCAGCTGTTTTGCAACGAGCTCAAAGTTTTGCTAGAGTACATTAGTGAACAAACAGCATCATGAAGGAGCACAGCAAGTCTTGCAGCAGAACCAGGATGTTTTTAAAACCAACCGAGATCTGTGCAAGGGCTACTCTGCAGCTTGTCCAAGTCTTTACAACTTTTTCCTTCCTCGTAACTTTCTATGAATGTGCTTGAATGCAACACTCTGAACAACCAGCGTCCTTCGACCTTTTATCACTTACTCTCCATGTAGAGGATGTCAGTGACCGTCATCAGCTCAGCAGTCCTCCCTATGATTCTGTAGGCTGCAATATGGCCCCTAAATAACACTAAAATATGAAACACGCGTTTTTTAAAAAAGAAACAATAGTGAATATTATATTAAATTAGAATATATTGGTTTTCCAGTGTCCAGGAGAGTATAATAAACTGGTCACTGTTTTCTTAATGAAGGTAAAACTGAAAAAACTTTTTCCTGCCATGCCTCCAACACATTTGGTTGGCATGTACTGAATGATGGCATCAGTACGGCCATAATGGCTGCTATGAAGACTTGTTGACCATATGGAGTTGTTTTTATTCCCTTTATTAGTGTCTGTATGCATGGTGCTAAAATAAGTTTGGGTCCTCATCTACAATAGTTTATACTCGCCTATCTGCACGCCAAGCCGCAGACAAGATCCAGTTTAGGTGAACGGTTGTTTTCTGGGGACCTTCGGGAGTCTAGATCATATTTAGCAGTGAGTCTGAGGTGCTTCTCCACAAATTCATCCCGGGTTTGACCTTCCTGCTGGTGTGCATGTTGTTGGAAATGTCATACATAGTATCAGCTTAGAAACACTTGCTGTTCCAGTTGAAGGCCAAACTCAATCTGTTTATTTTTGTGATAGTGGGGCAGAGAAGGGTTTTCCGGACGTGACTCAGTGTCATTATGAGGATATGTTAGTCTTATGTGAATGCAACAGTTATTGAATTTCCTCAAACCCTGAACTATTATCCATCTCTACTTTTGTTAAGACACAAAACTGACACAGTTTTTGATTTATTAATGGGTTTTTCGTACGTGATGAGGTTTCAGCGTCTACATCACAGGTGAAACTGATATCCCATGGAGCTCTAGTGCGCCCTCGTGTGGCTAATGTAGGTCATGACAATTCACAGCAAACCAGATGTCAAGGGTTAATCATTCTCTGACACTGAAACTTTGAACAAAAGTTCTTTATGAGTTCTCCTTCCTTTATCTGCATGTATTGTGACATAAATCTCTTTTTATTTCCTCATAAATTATATATTGTTCAAGAAATCACTTTACAAGAGTTAATGAAAAATCTAGAGCCATCAAATACTATTGCTTGGGGGAAGACACTAAATTTTATATATATTTATATATCAATTTTTTTCATTCCCTGAGTGTAAGGGAGGAGAAGCCATCTTTTTATTTGAAACAAATATTTTCAAAGACATTTAAACAAGTTGTGTAAAGATTTGAGTAAATATGGAGATTTATTTGTTCATCATTACACACAGATAACTCAGATTTGTTTTTTTAATGTTTTTGCTCCCGAAGATGACACACTTTGCATGCATTACAGATAATAATGCTTCATAGTGGATGATTCTAGGTCCTAAGCAGATCTGCCAGCAGTGCTGAAGACAAAAAGTAAAATGTATATTTCAGTTTTTAGAATCAAAGCTGCTTCGAAGGAAGGTAATGCCGAACTGTAAGCATGCTTGTGTAACTTTTCCCAAATATTGAAAGGAAATTCATTCCAAACTGAGCAAATATTCCCCAAAACCTCATAAAATTTATTTGGTAGTGGTTAGGAGGCAGGCTTTTCTGGTGAGATGACAAAATTATTATTTTCTATGTGTAGACAGAAGGGAATGCTTAAATATACATTGTAGCCTGTTTTAACTTGGAGGGACCGTGGACACTGGGCTTCCTGTTTTTGGCTTTTTAAAATCTAAAACAACAGAAGCTCTGACTGATTATTTCCTGCCGTCTGAAACATGACCTTTCTGTGAACAGGGCATGCACTAGTTGTTACGGTTTGCACGCGTGTAGACAGATTCAGCTGGTCACGCACCGGAGCCCTCGAAACGGGACGAACTGCATCCCACTGGGAAGGCTGCGGGTCACACTTCCAATTAATGGGAGGCACATCGAACATGAGCAAAATGGTTTATTATTTCTGTGTTTTACAACGAGGCAGCCATCGTGATCGGCCCTGCATGCCTCACTGTTTAATGAGGCCAATTAAAGATGAATCGACAGCGCCTCCGAGTCATTACAGCGCACGACAGATAAACTTGGTGACAGCAAATTAATCCAGTAATGAGGAACTCTCTGACTAAAAGAGAAGAGACAAGGAACAAGCAGAGGGTCTTATTAGTGTCTCCGCCGATTTGCTTCTCTGTTGAAACGGTTCATTCTGGTGGCGACTGTAACTCATTCACGCTGCGCTGCACACAATAAACCTGGACCTTTTCTCTCTCTCTTTTTTTTTTATTGCTATTAAAATCAAATTACCCAGTCATGCGAGATATCATGATTTTCCAATCAGGAGCAGGAAACACAAGGTTGGATTCCTCTTTATTGGAATGTTTTAATTCAGTAACATGACAACAAGCCATAACAGAGCAAATATTCCATCATACAGACACAATCTGACGATCCCTTCAACACAACAAGGCTCCTTTCTACACACACAAACCAGCACCAGACTCACCGGACATACTTAAGGCACACACACACGCAGACTATTTACATGCAACACACACACACATGTGCAAGTAAGACAGCAGTGATGCCGGATAACTTGATGTGCAACAGGAGCTGCAGCATCAGCTCACAGACAAATGATTCTGTATGTGTTTTACTTGTGATTGCTTTTAGCGTTTAGAGTGATCTTATTCAACCTATTGCCTAAAAATCACTTGTTAGCAATAACACAATGAACGGGTCACAGGAAGTCGGTTACATGTGGGTCAGGAACAAACAAATCAACAATGAACAAATCTGACTGGGGATAAAAAAAACAACTAAAAAATAGAGATAGACAAATATTTGTGTGTGTTAGTAAAATATGTTGAAACAAACAACAAGGCATGGGCCAGATACCAAAGTCTAGGATTTTAAAAACTTATCAAAATGACTAATTCCATCATACCAATCCTGTGGTTGAAAGTCTTTAAAGAGGCTTCAGAGAATGTGCTCTATATACTGTGGTACAAACTCGTTCCACTGCTGGTCAGCTGGCTGAAAGACTTATTCAACCATTAGGGAAAGAAAACTAATTTGGGAAGTGTTGAGCAGCTGATTGGAGGCTGTAGTGGAGTAGATAGTCATACTAAGCACCCAATATCAGTTTATTGTTCTTAATTTACTTTTCAAAGAGCAGAAAAATGAAAAGACATTGGATTCTGAAAAATACAACAAAATTGAGCAGGTAGCCTACATTTTTATGCATCAGGACAACAAAAATGTTGTGAAATAATTGTAATAATTGGTCATTTTGTGTGAATAATAACTATTTTCTTTCCTTCTTATTTGTGTGCTGTGGAAATAAAAATAGTTTCACTCAAACCGGCACATGTCTGTATGTCAAACAAACGGCACACAGGAGGACAAAACGCACAGCAGGAGAAAAAACAACAGTAGCAACGACTACATACATACTTTTCTTTTTTGTAAGAGCAAGCAGTACATTTAAATCTGTGCCCATACTGATTTTAAATGCAACTACCAAGATGTTAACTTACTATTTAACTTTGTGAATACAATGTAAATCACTGTGCTGGATGGGAAAGAAGCTTCACATTTCACAGATGGTGTTTGGAAAACTGAATGCCATCGTGTCATTAGTGACCTATATTAGTATAGGTGTTTGCAGGATACTAGACGGTTACTGTGTGTTTAATTTCTAACGACACAGTTGAGGTTTGCTTTTGCACAAATGCTGCTGCGCTACCATCTCGTTTGACCACGAGACATTCTGATGATCGTCCAAATGCAGCTTTTTCCAATTCTTTACTAGAGCTTAAAAAAAATTATTGTGATTTAGTTTTGGATTGCTAGTGCTGCGTTTGAACACTTCTTTCTCCAGGGTCAAATGATAAAACACACAACTACTGTGAGCTTTAAAAGGCAAAAAAAAAAATTGTGCTTTTGCTTTAATTTCATGCAGATTGTCTTTAGATTCAGAACTACACATACGACGGGGGACCCAAAGGTTTCCAGAATGACACTGCTGTGCGCACGCGCTTTTCACAGTACGCGATTCTGCCCTAGTTATTGTTCAACCATGCCTTCTCAGTCAATATACCACAAATATATACATAAGCTTTATATTGCAACGGCATGGGTTAGTGATGTTTTTGATCCGATTTTAGACACCAAGAAATTTACAATAGAACGTAAAAGTGAAAGGTCTGCAGCTTTCCAAGTGACTGGATAGGCTTTACTTCAGATCACTTAGTTTGCTCATCAAAACAGTCAAAGGTGAGGTAATGAAAATTTTAAAAATATTTTTTCTTCATTTTTCCAGATTTATATTTATATTCAGAGCTACGGCTCAATGTCAGACATTGTACAATGTTGTTATTTTTCCCCATCTGTGGCTACAGTGAATTGAACTTACAGCTTCCTAATGCAATCAGTGTCTATAGCGTCTTCCTCCACACCTAGCTTCCTGCTCTAGAGCCCCTTCTCCTACTCCAAGTCAGACATTTCTCCTGGTGGACTCACAGCCCTTAAACCAGCGACGCCCTCCTCTCCTCTGGCGTCTCCTCCAGTATCTGAAGCAACAGGTCACTGAGAGGCTTGGCAAGGGTGTTGTAACCTGTTGGCGTCAGGTGGAGGTAGTCAAACATCTCCTGGGAGCTGATGGTCCCGTCGGAGTGGATAAATTCGTTGCTCACGTCCAAGAACAGAGTCTGGCCCAGCCGTGGCAGCCAGGCGCGCAGGAGCCTGTTGACTGAGGCATTCTTCTCCCTCAGTGGGTTGGGCTGCTCTCCGCGGGGCAACAAACCCTCAACGGCACAAAGACACGTCAAACTTAGAGGACTTCCGTCGAGTCGTTCAAACCTCTGCATTCACAGGCGTCAAATTCTGCGCTACATTTCTCAAATCTGACATTCATTCTTACTTCTATCAAATTAATCCTATTATTTTTGGTCTGCACGAAGAAGAAGCTGTTGCTGCTTGTAAGCACAGCTTGGATTTTTGACATTAGCACAAGGGTTTGGGATATTCATGAAGTCGTCAGAAAAACAAAGTTTGGCCTTTCAGGATATAATACAACCACTGAGTTTTTTATCCAGATTCTAAATACAGTTCCACTCCATGTGCACAAAAACAAACAACAGGTTCCACACTGTCACTACTTGAGGCGCTTCAGTCAAATGCATTTGATTAAGTGATCATCATCACGTGTACCACGTCTATATAAGCAGGGACGCTGTAAAATAATGGACTTCATGTCAAGATGATTGTGTTTTTGCCAAGGTGGAAAGACAACAGCAATAACTGTAGAGAAGAAACTGTTGCTGCCCATCACGCCTGTCACGATAAATTCTGATGGACAATAGATTGTCCCAGAAATTATTGGGATAACTGATAATTTTGTGTTTATGAGTCCATTTTCAAGTAATGCAATGGTAATCTTCTCATTCAGTGTCTTGTTAAAGTAATTTTAAGAACAGTTTCTCAATTATCAATAAACTATAATGTCTAATAAACATTTAACACTGGAACTAAAAGACCTTTTAAATATCCAAAATAAATCAATAAAAACAACAAATCAAACTAATAATGAAGTCTCTGTAAACAAAATTGTCCTTCAAAATCAGGGGCTGGTTGAAACCAAAGTACCAGACTCAAACTTTTGCCATCCAGTTTTTGGTAGAAAGAGAAAAATTTGAAAAACAATCATTCAAATGAAAATTGTGGAGCTTGTTTTAGTTTATCATGTGACTGATTGATTGATTGCTTATTGCAAAAGGCCTACTGTCCACCTGAAGAGGAGAAATAAGGCCACTTACTAAATACATGAAGCCCATTATTTTACAGTAAAATTATTCACAAGGTGAAAAACGGTTCAGAAAGCAGCAGATTGCTCAGCAAATCTGACCCAAAGTCAGACCACACAATGCTACGAGACACTGCAAAGAAACAGTAGAGCTACACAGCAGAGACTAACGGCCTTGGGTAGTGTCTGGATAATTAAAGAAACTGTGCTTTCTGGTACCGTTTTCAAAAGAACAAAGACAAAACACATCATGATGCTTCAAATGTTCATGGAATGCAACTCACCAGGACAACAATCTTAGCTTTGGGAAGGCGGTTAGTGAGCAGCTGTGCGATGGCAACAATTCCTCCTGCAACCTGCTCTGCTGTGTGGTCGTGATTGTTGGTTCCCACCCACAAAACCACCGCCTTAGCAAGAGCACAGAGAGTCAGTTTATTACTTTCCACAAAAGAAATCAGGCAACACAACTGAGAACAGTCTCTCCAGGGGGTTTCTTAAATTCCAGTAGCACAATGAACTTTAGTTTTGCTTTCCCACCTTTGGGCGGATGTTCTCTAGCTCTCCGTTCTGCAGCCTCCACAGCACATTACAGGTGGTGTCACCGGCTAGACCAAAATTAAGTGAATGGAGAGGAGAGAACATCTCCTTCCAGATCTAGGGAGAAAAAGAAATCTCAATTTTTTCATAAAATTACTGCAAGAAAATAAAAATAAAACATAACACAAATACTGAGTTTTTATCCAGATCCTAAATAGTTCCACTCCATGTGTACAAAAAACAAACAACAGGTTTGTTTTTGTACACAAAACAAACCTGTTTTGCGGTAAAATAAGACATTTTAATAATGCGATGAAATATCTGTCAGTAATTTTATCACATTGTTAGCACAAACAGCCTCTGCACAGCATGCTGCTTCCTATTAATTTAATGAAAGATAAATAGCTTAACTTTACTGCAGCAATCATATATGACAGAACAGTGTGCTGACAAAATATAAACAACATGAAGGAAAGCTCTTTTGAGCGATTCTTGCCACAGATCCAAATTTTGGAAACATGTTAATTTGGCAGAATGCTAAGTAGGTCAAATATCCAATGAAAACAAAGCACAGTTTGCCTCACCTCATACTGCTCCATTAGTTGCACCATTGAGTCCCCTACAAAAAGAACCTCTGGTTCGCCATCTTTGCACTCCTGCACAAATCTTGTATGCTGAACACACACACACACACGCACATGCACACACACCACACACACACACAAAAGGGTGGTTATTGCTGGCATAGATGTGACAGACCACATCCACCTTCATGTTATGTACAATGCTTTTCAAAAGCCTTCATATCACTTCTATACCTTGAAACTGTCTAAGTAAATTTCTTTGGAATACATTTTTATTCAACCCCCTTTACTCTGACACCTCTAAATAAAAGACATCAAGCAGGCTTTCAGAAATCAGCTGTGTACTTAATTTTAGTATAAAGTATTTTCCTGGTGTTCATAGGTTTTAGGGACAGCAGGCTTTAATCCACAAATACTTCAGGCCCTTTCTAAAAACACTTATAATTGACTATTTTAATAATTCATACATCATATAGACCTTAATATGCATTAGTATTCACAGTGGAAATGTTCTTGGCATTAGTGCAGAAGCTAAGATGTATGGTTTTTCTTGTCTCCACTTTTGGATTTACAACCAATCAACAGCAAGAAAACTGAATGCCGCTCCTGTATTGGTTGCTTTGCGAACCGGTCCAGCGTTGACCATGAACACCAAGGAACACGCAAGTTGTGAAGAAGTTTAGATTATGAAATGGCATCAAAACTTGTTCACACAAAAATGTAAAGTGTCTCCCAAAACAGCATGTGTACACTGTTCTATCTGGGCATTGATGTGTGGTAGGATGCAGTGATCAAGGAAAAGATGGGTGAATTGTAATCGATGTACCTTTCGCAGTATTCACTGCATACAATGTAGCAATTACTCAACACTGTTCAGTTTTCTAGGCATTATGCAGGCCTGCCTTTATGGAAGAAAGATGTTAAGTTTGACACAAGTTATGTAGGAGGCACAGCAAACGTTTCAAAAAAACAAAAACATCTGGGGCAGGAAACTAACACTGCAAAAACACAGCAAGTGGTACAAATAATTTTGACAAGCACTATAACTGAAGTTGAGGATAAACATCCAGTGACATCATTTTTGTCAATCAGGAGAGATGAGGGTGATCTATCCGAGTTAGAACAAATCCTACAAGCTGATCACAGCCGGGACCCGTCAGGTTGGCCGTCTGATCGAGGGCTTGAGGCAAAGCAGGTCGTCTTAGTTGTACAAGCTTCAGAGGATTAACCTGGCAAAGACCTGCCCCAAGGCGCCACCAAACAAGCCAGACTGACTGTTGCACTGAAAACACACAAGCCTTAACACTGGAAAAGCAGACTCCTCTGGATTTACAGGATCACAGGACTGATTAATTCCCATCTTATGGTCATTTGAACACAAACACATGAACAAGTTTAACACCAGGCCTTGAAGCACTGAGTGCAGAACAAACCTGTGACATCCACCGTCCATCACCCTGTCGGTCCTCGACTGGCAGAGGAACTGCAGCTGGGTTCAGATCATCACCACTCATCATGCAGGAAGTGACCCCGCCGCAGGTTAACAGGTCAAACTCAACACCAGTCAGTGGCTGACGCTGGAAGATAACATTGTGGGTTCAATTTGATGAAATAGCTCTGGTAAACATGAGTGTGACGCTGCAGCTCTCGACAGTGGAGCAGCCAGACTACCATAACAATAATAATAATAATAATAATGTGACCTCGGTTACCACCTTAGTTATGTGTGAAGAACCTTAAATCCTCTGGTGTTGTCTTTTTACCAGATCACACATAAGTTTGTAAAGAAAATGATCAGAGGCATTGATGCAAATTAACCACAGTTTATTTAATCACAATAATGCTAGGCGTAAATAGTCAATTCATTTTTATTGTACAATATCAACCACTTTAAAATCCTAAATCTATGCTGGCCCTGGAAACCTTACCGCTGATGACCAGTTACTTGATTAAATAAAATCAGACTGCTTGGGGGAGAAATAATATTTAAAAAAACAAATGTAACTGAATACACCTAGGTGTTCCCAAACAAAAACACACTCGCACAACAAAAGAAAAACTCCTGGTGAATAACACAAAACAAGAAACTCCCCTCCCACTAGTCTCCTCAATCTAGATAAAACAGCTTGGAACCAGGGACAGCACAGGTTATCTACAAGCGAGCCTGGAGGGCTGAACAATAAAAACTCCCAAAGAATAAAAAGTTTAATCCATAAATAACCAAAACAAACTAAATCTGAAACAGTAGCAGGCCAACCTGCACACAACAGAGAATAAAATTAAACTGATATTTTAAATAACCACATAATAATGAACTGCCTTTACCTTCGCTAAAAGCTAGCAGAACTCTGTATATCCTCTCCAAGAGGAGGTTTCCTGCAATAAAATGGAGCCATCAGAAATAATTCTCAACCCAGCGCACACTTCATGTTAACCATACCTGCAGAGAAATCAGCCTGGACTCTCACCCTCTCAGCGATCTACCCGCTTTTAAATGTAAATACCGATTGCTTGCCTCCGTAATGAATCAGCTGCCCTAAAACAGCGTCTTCCTTATATGGGCAACCGGAAGAGTGCATAATGGACATAATGCCCCGGCTACAATAATAATAATAATAATAATAATAATAACACGGATGTAGGCCACTTTCCCTCGGAGGAAGGTGGGTGTTTAGCGATCACATTAACTCTGTTTATCTGGCGTTAGCGTGTTAGCTGCTACCAAGCTAATGACACACGGCAGCGTGACAGACACGCCATTAAACAAAACGCGTCAAAAGAAAAACCACGGTCAAATGTATCCGAAGCACCACCTGACGCTGACAGGGTGTGATGCCCAGTCCTGTCAGACCCGCAGTCCTTCAGCCACGGTTTCACTCGAGCTCCGGTTAGAGAGGTTAGCTAGTAATCATACTGACAAACAGTGGGTGTGTCAATAAGGTAAACTGTGCGGTGTCAGGAGAACTCCAGCGGTGTGCTGTCGAGACTGGTATCCCTTTAAGTTGCGCTTCTGTACACTGTTTTACGGCCGCGTTTAAAAAAAAAACATTTATTCATAAAGAATTTGGTCAAAATAATATAATTGTTATTTTTTACTAACACCTGTTAGTAAAAACAAAATCACTGTCCAGTTCAGAGACACTCAAGTACACATCTCATTGCCGTAAAACATGGTATAGAAGCGCATACGGCTTTAGCTGCCAGAAAACATTTTTCCGGGGGAACTCGGCTCCCTTCTGCACCTGCAACGGTCGAAAGAACCAACATAGAGCTGATACAGTTATTCCCTGAGCAGAGCTTTACAGGAAACCACATCAGCAGGTCACAGTCTTTTCATCGCAATAAGCGAATATATAGACGATAGCCTATACGATTTACCGAGCGGTAATTGTCGAGGTTTATTTGAGACGGCGTCGCATTCGCCTGAAAGGCAAGGAAAAGGGAATAAATCACTACAGTTAGCTAGCCCAGCCCAGGAAGATCCGCGAGGGTCAACTGGTCCAAAACATCGTCAGGATTTATCCACACATCACGCTAGTTTTTAGATGATGCTAGGACTCCGAACAACGTGTTTGGTTCAGCCATGAAATCCTACATTTATTTCTTGCCATCTCACCTCCGCTCACCGGGCGCATTCATTGACGTCAGCCGGCGGACAACTAGGGAACAGACGGTGTGGGAGGAGATTACATCTGTAACGGTAATCTTTCACCCGGCTGAGCGAGGGCATAGACGATTTGTCATAGCGTCTTAGTCATGTCATCAACCGCAGTCAATGTAAATTTGGACTAATAAAAATAAGCCACTGCGAGTATTTCACGCACACGATTTTTTCCTATTAATTAGTTGTGTAATTTTATTTATTTATTTTTTAAAGTTACTCTGTTTATAGCAGTCACATGATGGAAGTGGGCGCCCGCCTCTCCAGTCGGTACACTTCAGACTCCTCGGAAGCATGCAAGCCTCGCCCACCCCGTACATATAGTCCGTCACCAGGTGATAAATGGGGCGCACCCACAGTCAGCCGATTTATGACGTCAAGAGTTCATAAAAACAACGTTTTTATGAAGAGTACGGGAGGATAACACCAGTTACTACTACAACTATAATAATAATAATAATAATATAATAATAATAATAATAATAATAATAATCAAATGAGAGCTCGTTGTTAACCTGTTTTTGTTTTTGTGGCATGTTTCCCTTCATTAGTTTTTTGATTGGTTTATTTTCCAGTTAAAGGCCAGTGTGAAGTTCATTAGCCTCTATATACATCCTGCTGCAGTCCATTAGGAGATACTGAGTTTCTTTTTCACTGAGCTTAATTAAACATTTACCCTATATAGCTCAAAACTTGTACGAATGTATGTAAAACAAAAAACAAAACAAAAAAAAACACACAAAAAAATCTACAATATCCCAATAACATAACACACAACCTTTACATCGAATAAAGTAAAGGTTGTGAGAATCGTATCAAGAAGCTCACATGAATTCCAACAAATGGAATATATATATATATATATATATATATATATATATTATATATATATTATATATATATATATATATATATATATATGTATATGTATATATATATATATATATATATATATATATATATATATATATATATTCTATTACAATTTTGTATCTGCTTTTTTATTTATAAAGTGGGATATGAAATTTTAATATAAGTTTTAAATTACAGAAAAACTCACAAAATTACTATCATAAGACTTAATATAAACAACTACACACAATTTAAATCATTCCCATCAATCATTATTAAAATAATTATTTACCAGAGTTTTTGGCCATAATATTCTGTTTATGTATAAAACAATATCAGTTGCATAAATATAGCAAAAAAAAAAAAAAAAAAAAAACGAACAATAAAGTAACAAATAAATTGTTGGGGGAAGGAACTGAATCAGCATGGCAAACACATTTAATGATTCAGAGTTTGATATGATGTTTCAAAACAGATTTAAAAAAAAGATGTTCCTTTAAATTTCCAAATTTCTGCTCGCCATCAGAAAATCCCAAATGAGATTTTTTTTCCCCTCATCAGTCCATGACATTAAGCCCAAGAAAACCATCAGCATCAACGCGTCACCAGAATGAGTTCAGGAGAAAACAATGTCCAAGTCAGTGGCAGCAGTTCTTCATTAAGTCCACAAGGTGGCACTGTTGGGACTTTTAAACAACCATTGGGTGATAAAGGCAGCAGGGAAGATCACTGGAAGGAGTTTCTATTCATCTGAGATAATAACATCCGCTGCAGCAGGATGCTCACATGGACTGTCGTCTGATTATGAACTGTTGTGTGAAGACCTGTTTGTTAGGGTTATTAGTAAGCAAACCGCATCATGCAGACCAAACAGCACAACAAAGACCTGGATTAAAATAGTAGAGAAGCTTCAGGCAGGATTGGGCTGTAAAACAATGCCACAAGCTTTGGAAGTTGCATAAAAGGGAAAGAGCATTCCTCTACTAAATCCTAAACTTGGACGTGTCACATTCTGGAAATAATTAATCAGAGAGGTTTGTGGTTTTACCTTGACATTACATGAAAACCTGAATATTGTCAAAGACATAGCAGAGCTAAAATACCTGATGAATCATCTGGATTAGCATCCTATTTCCACATTTTCCTCAAATAAGCCAACAGTTGACTTTAAACAAGCGTTTTATCAGTTGTTAATACAATGCTTGAATAATCATCTCAACACAAACACAACCCAGTCCCTCTATTGACTCCTGGTTTTGACACTAAAGTTTATTTTTGGTGTCACCAGTGGCCACTAGATGGCAGACGCTGCCGTCCCCTAATGAAACAGATGTAAAACCTGACCTAAAAGGTGGCGGTTTGTGTTACGCAACAGGTCACGCCCCTCAGGTGTGTGCGTGCTCTTTGTGCGCATGAGTAACTTGTTTCCCTTGCGACTTGAGTGAACAGAGAGACAGTCTGCGGAGAGAGGTCGTTAGAATAAATGTCTTCCTTCACTTTACATGCGCCTAAGGAATATCACGGCGGGATCTGAGGGAATATAACACACTTTATCTCATGGATCGGCTGTGGTTTCTTGTTTTCCTAGGAGGATTCGTGATACCAGGTGAGTTTGAGCAACTTCCCGGACATTGTTCGCTGTTTTTCCTCTTCCTGCGTCAAAGGAACCTCTGGCTTTATGTTGTGCGCCAGTAACTGGATACCCAATTATTAATGAGAGTGTTTACGAATTTCACAGTTTTAAGTTGGAACTTTAGAAGGGGAAAAGGCTGTTTGGGAATCTGTACCGACCTTTCATTATCATTTGAATCGATAACCTTTAGACCGGCTCCTCCTCTTGGCCTGTTTTTATTTGTTAAATTTTGTTTGGTTGTTTTTTTGGAGCATAAATGCCCCAAAAAGTGGTATAAAAAAGGTACTGTTTTTTTATACAAGTGGTATAAAAAAATAATCTGATTAGAGGATTGAATGTGACTTCAGAATGTGTTTTTATACCATCGACTTCCATTGAATTGCACAACACACGGTCTCTGCAATTGTATTCATTTATTACACCGAGTTTCAAAATCCTTTCAAAACCTGTGGAAAACACGTTGAAACATTTTCTAAAAGATCGTAGTTACTGGTGCAATGTTCAAATTTCAACTGATTCAGAATCATTTTGAGTAGTCGCAAACCTTTTCCTCTTATATTCAATGGGAAGAGTTTCTGTATACAAACATGTCATAAAATGTCGATAAGACTTTCCTGTCTTGGTATAATTTAAAGAGAGACGTGCATAAAGTCATGCTTTTAGTGCTGCATTCTTTCTTGTTTTATTTGATTGTTTAAGCTGCCAGGGCAAAATAAAAGGTGAGCAGTGAGTGTGAGGTCTTCTTCAGGTTCACAACCAGTTGCTTATTCACTTTGATCTTTGTTTTAGTTCCTGACTCAGCTGGGGGCAATAGACCTTTTGTGCAAGCAACTGAAAAGTATGTACCCCTCCCCTCTTTCAGCCAGCTGTTTGGCAGTGCTCAGCAGCAGGAGCCAGAAGGCACTTCTGTGTTACTTTATGCTCCAAGCAAAAGAAAGCTTTGAACACTCAAGCTCGTTTCTCTTGTGTTTTATGAAGATGCGAAACGGCAGCACTGGAAATTTTACCCGTTCTTTTAAATCCTTCATGAAGGTGATTCACCCTGTCAGATATCACACTTTACTTTTGAGTCCAGAATACCTTATCTTCTCCATCAAAGACTGCAAGGTCCCCTGTGGTTGAAATAACAAGAATATTCATCGTCTCTTCACCACCATGCTGGGTGTGAGTTTTAGAGCTAAACGTCTCCACTTTGGTCTGTTTAGGTGAAGATTTACAAGTGTAGGTAACACTACTGTGTTTTTTTTTTCTTTTTTTTTTGCAAAGCGTAGAGGCAGCCACTCCAAACAAGTAATACTTGTTCAGTGTGGATTAAAGCATTGCAACGTTCGTGAACCTGAACATGCTAATCACAGATCTAGCCTTGTCCTTGTTTTTATCAAGCCAGCTGCTTCTGGTCTCCACAGATAACCAAAACTTTATCCAGTTCTCCAATGTTGACCTCAGCTTGGTGTGTAGGTGGATATTAAATATGTAAGAACTAACATGATGCAGCATGCATGCATTTGTTTTCAGTGAGTGTAAAAAAAGAACTAATCAGGTTGAAGAAACTCTTTTGGTCTTAAACGTTTTGGTGCTTCATAACTTAGCTGTAGATTTTTCACTCATGTGGAAACGTGCATCTGAGTGTGATTTTAATTAGGAGGAGACCATGAAAGGAATGCTCTTCCTCCTACAGAAGTGATAAAAGCTACGTTGGTGCGACTCTCAGCCTGACCGCTGGCATCTTTGAAGTTTGGATTTGTCGTTTTCTTGACGCTGCGTGATGTTCTGATTTTTATCAATCTTTCTTTTCTTTCTGTGCTTTACTTTTAATAAAGTAATCCATTGTGAGAAATTATTGCTCTGATTTTTTTCAGCTGCTAATTTTTATTTGTTTTAAAAGTGCGGCCCTACCTAAAGGTCACAGGTCACATTAGAGTGCATTCCATTCAGATATTACTTCATGTTGTGAAATAATTTTGATCAAATCATGTTAGTGAAAAGGAAAAAAGGAAGTTATGGAAACCAGCAGACAAGAAGACGCTTGTCTGCAGTATTTTCTTGTATTGGGAGAATGACGGGTTTTGTGCTTTAATAATGGAGAGTAATTATATTCAGCTGTGGCTCAGATTGTCCTGCAAAATCTGTGTGTGTAGTTTCAGCCTTTCAAAGCAATCCTTAAAAAAAGAAGCCTTTGATTATCTGTTCTTTGTCAAGTCGTATAATTGGGACTTGCAGACGAATCTCTGCAGGAATGAATTTCTGCAGCCGACTGGATAAATTTAGTGTTTTATTTTTCTTAATGATTGAAATTATTTTTCTGAAAAATAACCCAGTAGTGAGACCTGCTGCAGTGTTTGAAGTATGTAGTTTTTAGAATCTAAAAATCTTCTGCACTCACTTGTTGACTTCATAGCACTTGAAAATCTTGGACGCAGAGGTCACTTTGTTTTAATCAGACGTTTTACTGACTTTGGTGAATGCTTTTATCATTTTAATTTCTATCTCTGATTCTGCTTATTCGTCAAATTCATTTATTGCTGCTTTGCTAAGCAAAATGTTATACATTTATTCAACGGAGTTGCTTTTCTGTGAGATCAACACAGTGTTTGTTTTGTAACAAATCTCTGCTGCTACACCGCATGAATTGAAATGACCAGAATTGCCACAAAATGGAACCAAGGAATAATAGTTTTGTGATATTCATAATAAAAAATGAAACACATAAAGTGGATAGAAAGATAGAATTTATAAATGTTCTGTAAATTATTGTCTTTGTGGTTATGAAAAAAAATTCCATCTAGTAAGGTTTCTTTACAAAAAGCTTACCATTTCATGAAAAAAAATATAAAGGTTTTCATCTAACAAAAGCTGTTAAACAGCAGTAAAAAGAAGAGACATTTGCACTTACATTTGTCCAAACTGTTGTACGTTGATTAAGTCAATCCAATCCCACACGTCAAGTATCTGCATGGTTGAAATCTAAACCATTGTTGCACAGGTGCTTATCTCTGGATTGGACTTATGGTAGCTTGCACTCAGATGCCCATCAATATGAAACCTTTTAAAATTTTCCGGACCGCATCGTGATGATAAATAATTTACAGAATCTTCTAACTTTTTGATGTCTTTTTCAGGGGTGCAGCATGTTTGGGGAATAGAAATTTTCACTACGAGCGAGGTGGAAGCGGTCAATGGAACGAGTGTGACGCTCAAGTGTACATTCAGCTCCACGCAAACTGTGTCGCTTCAGACAGTTACAGTAATATGGGACTTCCAGTCCATAACTTCAAAACAAACTGAACGTGTAAGTAGTAAGCTTCTCTTTTTTCTCCCAAAAAAGTTGATTTTATTGACATCAACACCAGTAAACCTTATTCTGACCTTAATAGCGGTCAGAGTTGTAAAATACAGAATAGGACAGAATGAAAAGTACCAGAGTTTCACATTGTTACACATTACGGGGAAAAGTTTTTAAAGGCTCAACCTTTGTGCTTAGTCATGCAATTTCTTGTAACCAAGTGAAAAAGTTTTGTTTCTTAATCTGAAAGACAGAATGATTGCTTACTTTCAGGTTTAGCAAAGTTCAAAGGGCCTTTGGAAGAGAAACAGTCCCACGTCATCACCTCATCTCACATCCTTGAGAGGAAATGACTTTTTTTTCTGTAATTTTTGACAAATATGTAGAATAAACCTTTTCTAGTTCATTATGAAGACTTCTAGTCCTTTTTCTACATATGCACTCTTTAGTCAAATACAAAGAAAGCTGCTTCTTTTCAGCAACAAATAAATATGCTTCCTCTGATTTCCAGTTCTTCACTTCGCAAACTAAGCCTCTGTTTTTGATTGACGTAATGTTTCATAAACGTTTTATTCTCCGTAAGGCAACGTGTCATTGGAACCACGTCGTTAAGACACTGAGTCTTTGAGGTTTAAATATTTGTGTTCATGGTGTCAAAATTGCGTCGTTTTATTTGCGTTTCCCATTTTTTATTCTTGCACTTTTTTTTTAACCATTTGTGTGTCTTTGCCAGATCTTGTACTATCAGGGAGAACCATATCCGCCCAACACAGGGCTCTTCAAAGGGCGTGTGAAGTGGTCCGGAGACATACTGAGAAAAGACGCCTCAATCACCTTGAATGATGTTCGCCCCACGTTTAACGGCACCTACACCTGTCAGGTGGCCAACCCTCCAGATGTCCACGGCAATACTGGAGAAACCATCCTAAGAGTCGTCAACAAAGGTGAGGCCATACTACGCATCCATCTTGATGACTCTTTTCTTTCTGCTTCACAATTATTTATTTATTTGTGTTGGTCTGCTACAGTTGTGACCAACTCCAGTCCTTTGGTTCATGTTTCCTGTATGTTGTAGTTGTGTCCCTGCTTCAACACAAGTTGATGAGCATTTTCTCTGCCCAATGTTACAAGAAGTTCTGCAACTGCGTGGTAAAGAATCATGCATTTCATCAAGTTGCGTCAAAGCAGGGTAACAGCTAAAACATCCAGTAAACTTGCTCTCGAGGATTGAAGTTGGCCTCCCTTCGCCTATGACAAAAAATCTCAACAAAATACCTTCAGGTTAGAAGTTGTAATGTGACAAATTCTTAAAGTGCTATGAATGCTTTTGCAAGACTCTGTGACTTAAGGCCTCGTAAGTGATTCGCTGTGGTTTTGCTTCTAGTACCTCTCTCTGAGATCAGCCTCCTGGCGGCCGCTGTCGGAGGCTCCTGCGCCGTCATCCTGGTCTTTCTTGGCATCTTCATTGCTGTGAAGATGTACAGGAGGCCTAAAAAGGAAAAGGACATTGAGATGCGCGTAGAGGAGTACAGCAAAGACCCAACTGTGTGGTGAAGCCCCAGAGACCCACAGCTCTTGTCAGCCTCCTCTTCTTGGGACTGCGGTGGAGTCAGTGTGACTGTTTGGGTTCATTTTCTTGACAGAAGTGAAGGAAAGGCCTTTTTGTTCTGCCATGTTTGCTCCTCTAGAGCAAGCTTTCGGATATTACTTCAGTTTCCCAAGACCACTATGGTGTTGGAGCTATAATGTGCTGTTATTATGTTGCTTAAATTAAAAATCTGGACATTTTTATCTACTTCATTAAAAGTTTCTTTGATTTAAAACATTTAAAAGTTTTTCTTAAACATTATGGAGGATGTAAACATGGATACATGTCCTCTTGGTGGCTCTTCACTTGAACCTTTGTTCACAACAGCAGTGCTGACATACAAATGGGCCTTTTCATTTTTTTAAACTTTTTTACCTTTGACCTGAGTGTCGTAATATGAAATGTGAAAGAGATCCAGCTGTTGTGAATTAAGGCTCACTATCTTTGCAATTGTTTCTTACCGAGAACAAGAGTATTTTTATTTTTTTTCACACTTACAAGATGATCAAGTTTTTTGGGGCAAATTCCTTTTCTTTTTGTTGTGCATTAATACCCATAGCGCATGAGGCTGACGACTTTATTCTCATGCGCTAAGGACAGTATTGCATGAGGCCGATGTGCTGATGACCTTTGCTCCACCATGCGTTCCAATCTTTGAGTTAAGGTGAGGCATTTGTCCAGGGCTGCATTCCCTCTCTGGGCTTCCCTAGCCTCAACGTAACCACTTTTGTTGGCATCTCTGCTTTTCTGTTACGTTTGTGATGGATATACTTTCTGAGGCGGAACATATCTCATGTGTTCAGTTCATCCATCGTGCACTGATCGTCCCGTCTCACTAGTGGCTTGTGTTTTTGTTTCTTTGCTTTTTCTTTTAATCTACGATTGAGTGTATTTGGCCGTGCGGTTACACCAGTTCACCTTCAGAGGCAGTTCACCTCACAGCTCTGAAAACAAAGAAGGAAGATGTTAGTTCAGATGATGAGTCTGAGCCCAGCAGCGGCGACGACGAAGAGGAAGAAGGTCTTGGGGATGATGATGATAATGATGATGATGACGATGACGATCTCGGTGGTGATGATGATGACGACGATTAGATAAATTCCTGCTTTGGTAGAAGAAATTGAAATGTTTGTGTTGCACAATTCACTGATGGTATTTTAAATCATCTTTGAAGAAGCATTGAAAAAGCGTACAATGTAATCAGAGATACTGTCTTCTTAAATATTTTTTTTGTTTTCTCCATGTGGAAACATTTAGTTTTGGGGAGCCAGCAGCTGGTGCCATCAGCCTCAAGCAGAAATATGGGATGCAATAAAGCCTCTGTGAATTTTACTTTTAAACTACATCCTCCTCCAACGTTTTTTGAACCAAGCATCAATGACCAAACAAACACGGCAGCTTGACAGGTTATGACTTGTCACTGTCTGCTTGGAAACTGGAATATCAAATCTTTTTTAGTGACGAGCAATACCAAGTCACGCTAGCAACACTTTTCAGTGTGGGCGTTGTTAATGAAGGAAGAAGACTCAATCTCGACTATTTTCAGTTTGAAAATAGTCGAGAGCTGAACGATGGCAGGTTTTTAAGAGGAAAAGTTGTTTGTGGTTTGCTAAGGATCATCATTTTAAACACAATGACTGTTTACTGTTAGTAATGCTGACTATGCTAATTGCTGAACTAGGTTCTCAAATCCATAATCTTTTTGTTGTTTTAAAAAATGCTGGCTGTCTTCTTAAGTTGACACCCCAGGTCACAATTACAGACTACTGAGTTTGAAAAATATTTTAAATACTTTCAGACAACGCAAAACTTTGGTGCATTTTCATTGCAGACTTCTTTATGATGAACAGAATTCTCATCCTTTTTTTCAAATATACAGTACAATATTCTGACGTTTAAAAAAAAAAACAATGTTGAAAATTTTGTTTTTTTCTTTTATTAATGATCTTGTTTGATATGTGTTGTGTTTGTTCTCTATTCTATACGAACAGTGTCATACAATTGTTTGTGGTAATCTGACTAGTTGGGTTAAATTTGTCCTGTATCAGAATTTTGCAGGGACACAAATTGTATTGTCGCATGAATTAGGTTTTATTATACATTTTTTTAAGGACATCGCCTTTTTAGTTCGACTCCATACTAGCAAATCCTTAACAGTGTTGCTCTACTTCTGCTGCTCCAACACCTAACATTTAATACTCTTAGATTCTCATTCTTAGATGAGTGATGTAAATGTTTTGTTTTTTGTATGATGATGTAAAAAAAAACAAACAAAAAAAATTAAATAAGTTCTGAATAAAGTTACATTGAATTAGCTTTACAGGTGAATGACATGTTGTGGTTATTTGTGATGTTGCATAAGGGAATGTTATATTGTATATTTTTGTAAGTATTGATAAGGTGAAAATTTTTGTTGTTTGTTTTTCGTCCTGAAATGTCATTTGTGTATTCTAGTAGCATTGGATTAAAGAAACACCCTTTTGAGCAGTAGAGTCAGTTTTTCCAGTCGTTTGGTGACACTCCCTGTTGGGTGGAGCCGTGTGACCAGCCATCTATCTGTGTCATACATTATATTACCACAACAACAAACTTTTCTATGGCAGCAGAGACTCCATTTAAGCTGTTGCTGTAATCTGAAACACCACATTTCTTGTTCATATCAATTGGTGTGTGATCATTTAAAAAAAATTGTTTTATTTTTTTCACTTTTCTGTATAAAACAGTGCATAGTTTTTGTCCTCCCTCTCAAAGACAACTAATAATTTTGTGAACGGTCGGTCAGAATATGGAGGGGTCAGTCCTGGATGACCTCATCTTGCAGGATACATTATGGAATCACCAGAGGGCTGTAAAAATAATTTTAAAAAGCAATTTCCAATAAAATATAAAAAAAAAATTTGGTGGTGGAAAAAGATATTTTTCTTGTATTTCTAATTGTTTCGTTTTTCATATCTGCCTAGTTACTAGTTTTTTATTTTTCTAAGGCACTATTGTAGTTCCATAGGCTGCACAAACTCGTCAAAAAGCTGAAAGTACTTTGTAATTATTATTTGAACCGAACTTGGAGTCGATATATTGGGGGTAAATGAAAGCATGTAAAAAAAAAAGTAATAAATTTTTACCTTTTTATTTCTCATGTACAAACATGACCTGAAGTAATCAGTTCAAAAGGGATAAAAAAATAACCATTTTAAAATAGTCCTTAAAGATTCCCTTCAAACAGCTAAGGTTTTAAAATCTTGTTTTCACTTGACGTCATTACTGCACAATAACACCTGAGATGTGTGTCCTTGTCTCCTGCTGCGGGCAGCACACATCTTGCTGCAGTAGTCCCAGAGGTGCCTATGTTCTTTTTAAAGCTGAGGATGCATCTTCTTGGCACCACTGAATTATGATGAGGAACACATGAACACAGCATCTGTACACAATATAGCTCGTCTACATGTATGTGTGTGTGTGCAAACAGACATACCCACCAAGATGCTGCAGCTGTTTGGTCAGCTCTGCTGCAGCACTCTGTCTTTCTGCAGCAAAAGCTTCTTTTTTTTTTTCTTATTGCAGTTTTGGAAGAGTTCCCACTGCTGCTGCATTGATACTCCAGTGGAGGGGCCAGCAGAGCAGAGTGGTGAGCCTGCATCCTGGCCAAACTGTCTCTGACTCAATGTTAACTTAACATCTAATAAACTGCACTACTCCCTGCCTCTTTTTACCTTGCACAACAACCTACCTCAAGTTGTTTCTTTATTGTGGCTTTCTGAAAAAAGTAAAGTAGTCTGGATCATTGGCTCATATGATTCTTATTCCCAAATTATGTTTTCTAATTTATTGGAAGCAATAAATCTGTTCAAAATAGTAACTCAGATTTACTCTGAATAAAAATCACTGAGCATCTGACAATTACCCAAGCTGACTGCCTTCTTCATTACATAATTTAATTTGAAATAATTAAAACAAATGCTACAAATTGGTTCTTCTTTTCCTCATCTTTGAGTATAAAGATGCATAATAAGCACCCTTTCATCAAACTGAAAGCAAAAATCATCCACTGGTCTTACAGGCAAGCCAGGTCTTGCTCTATCTTTCATGCTTGTTTCCAGGTGAGAAAGAGAACAATAAGATAATCACTTCAATACATTTTCAATACAGTTTCTTCCTATTTGGCATCCACCAACCCCCTCAACCGGTTTCTTTCGCTCTGGAGGAACAGTAGCTGTTTGGGGATTTAAAGCTGCAATGTTTAACATTTATAAAAAATAGTTTTTGTATATATTTATTGAAACTATTACTATGTTGTGCTTGTATGATATGAGACATAGATGTGTGTTTTTAAATTTGAGAACCTCTGCCTTCTCCCAGTGCTAACTTGAAACGATCAATCAGAGCCAAGTGGTGCAGCTCATCCTCTTTTGCTCTCTATGGCGTTGTAGCTAGCAGAGCTTGTTGTGAGCACTCAAGCTAATCAGCATTAAAATATAGCAGCAGTGGGAAACAATCAGATAAACAATTTTCCTGTAATGTAAGCTGTTTTTCCACCATTATCATGCTAGACAGCAAAAACATGAGGATGATTGTCAGCTCTAAGACCCTCCTCCTGGCCCCGATTGGTTGTTTTTTTGTCAGAATCTGTTCTTTTTTCAAATGGCAATAGTAGTTCAGGGAAAAGGTGGAGGAGATTGATCTTGTTATTGATTATCTGTCGCATACCATACAAGTATGTGAAAAAACATATTTTGAAAAAGTTGCCTACTGCAGCTTTAATTCCCACGTTACCAAAGAATGTTGTAAATTTTTGGAAATGACAACACAGGAGATTTATGATTCCATTTTAGAGAGACTTTTGTTTGATTCCTTGACTCAGAAACTGGAAATTCAGTGACTCAGAAACTGGAAATGGGGATCATCTCAAGCTATGTATGGGTGTCACATTCCTCAGCCTTCCTGGAAAAGTTTACTGTGGGTTGTTAGAGAAGAGACTCAGACTGGCAGCGAAACCCAAAATCCAGGAGAAATCATGACTTTTGTCCAAGCTGTGGAATGAAAAATGTCATAATCTGCTCCTCATGTTTCTTTTCTTTGAGATTATGTGGATAGCCTTGTCAAAGGATTTTGTATACAATCCTTTTAAGATTTAAATTTATGCTGAACACAAAAAAAAGTCAACCAAAAATTGCAAAGAAAAAAAAATATTGGAGCTTTTGCAAAGCACTGACAATTTTGTCTTCTACAAATGTGAAGTAGGTTTAAACTAAGTTGCAAACAGATCCATAACTTTTTTCAGTAAAGGTCATCCCTCGACTAAAAAAAGAAAAGCCAAAATCATGTCCATATTTCCAACTGAAACGTTTCTCAATGTTTATTTTCACAGAATCCTATCTTTGAATTGATCAGTAAATCTGTATTCTACCAATATTCAGATGTTAAGTGAAAGAATGGTGGATTAAACAAAGTAGAAGAGGAGCTGCATAATTAACTGATACCAATGACTCAACAAATACTTTTTATCATTCATAAAATGTAACAAGCTGCAGACAAAAATGTTCTCAAAAGAAAGTCTGTATCATGCAAAGGGAAAACTAAGTATCTACTGTTTTTACTCTTTTGCTGTAATTCTCTCCAGCTAAAATAAGAATGAAAGCCGCCATATTTATGAATGGCGGTGCGTCCCAGCCCAGGCCCTGAAGCAGAACCACACGCCCTCCTCCTCAGCCAGCACTGCAGAACTTTCCTCTGATCTTCAGAACACTCAGCCAAGGGTGCCTGAGTCTGCAGACACACGCAAACACACACACACCCCAAACCTAACAATGGGGAGGAGGGTTTGGAGGCAGTGGGTGGGAGCAGTATGGGGAGGGAGGAATGAACTATGAGACGGATGTGGAGGCAGGTGACCAAGTGGGGGGAAAAAGAAGTGAGGAGGTCTGGCAGGCAGCCAACAAGAGATGACAAGCAAAAAAAAAAAAAAAAAAAGAATAGAAAGACAAGTTGTGAAACATCTGGAGGGACGATCCTGGGAAGAATTCAGCTTGCTGGGTTCTGCTGAGTGGGGCTGAAACACTGTGTTCCCTCTGTGTGTCCGCGTTGCTGTTTGCCTCCCTGCTCGTCTCCCTCTCCGTCTCCCAGCTGGTTGTCTCTCCTCCTGGCTGGCGCTGCAATGTGGCAGTCTCTGCAGTGAAAGTGCTGGCTGGCAGATTCTCCTTGTGTGAACCCTGACTCTGCGCAGTGAGAGTTTGCCGCTCTGCTTCCGTCCCGTCCCACACTGACTCAGCTGTGAAGCCAGCCGCCGGGCCACAGGAGCAGGTAGGCAAAAAAAACAAACAAACTGTACTGTATGTTCTTTTAGTTTTTTTTTTTTTTTTTAATTGCTTTTAATTCATTGATCGGTGTTTTGCTTTTTTTGTGATGCAGAAAAAGTTTTGACAGTGCCCTGACAAATTTTTTTTATTTCTTCCACATCTCCTCACCTATTTCTTTCTTTCTCTGCTGCTTTCTGTCTAAACTGCAGCAGCGTTTTCCACATGAGTGCATTTGAAGGTTTCCAAGAGACTTCAAGACTATAGCAGCACTTTTTTGGGGGGGATTCCAGTCTCCAAATTTTATCCTACACATCTGGAAAACAGTATCAAAGTGAGCTGGGGCCAGCTGCCATGGAAGTCCGGTGGACTGGGGTCGAACGCTCCAAGCTGGGCTCTCCATATGCAGCCTTTACTTTGCTGCTTGGTAAAGTCAGTCTTTAATCTCTTGACTTCTTTTTCTATGTTATATATACATATACATATTATATATAGACACAATGCTATAGTTTTAATAATTAGGCAGTAAAGCTACTCGTGGTCTTTTATACATTACCTACAGGCATTTTCACGAGGCATGCTGCTGCATCAAATTTTTCCATGACAGAAAAATCCCCAAAGGGTGAATAACTAAAGAGGAAATAACCCGAACATTTTACAAAAACAAACAAGAAACAAAATCTTCTGTTTCGAGTGAAGTCAGCATGTATGCTGTAAATGTTGCCTCTAGTATATTAGATTAAATTAAATTCCTACTGGTTTAGTTTAGACTCTATGGCAAGAAGGCAATCTCAATGAAGTAAGGTGATCCTGCTGCTATAGGAAGGCTGCATCATGCACTTCTGGCCTGCTCCCTCAGTTTGTTCTGATTTTTGCAGCAGAGGATGTTGCTGTCATTTTGTGGCAGGGAATTTTGCATATAGGTCAGATACGTTCATATACATGTCGGCCTTACAGCTGCATTATAGTCTGGGGATGAATATATAAATATTTAATCAGGTCATTTAAAAAAATGCAAACAGGAAATTTACCTGACCTACCTTTGCACACGTTATCTTGGAAATCAAGTCTCTGCAGCACACATGAATTACCAATGAAACAGCCTTTAATTATGTTGTCTGTTTTTGCAGTTCAGTAAATTTAATCAAAGATGAGTAAGGGACTTTTTGTTACTTTATTATTTAACAACAAACAGGAGTTATATTTTACAGGCCACCTGCAACAACAACAACAAAAACTGTGCACCAGAATTTAACATATGCAGGTGGATAAGTAGCACAACAAAGATAGATATTTATTTAGATACTCATTGTGTTCTATATAAATATAAACCTAGTGGATACAGGAAACCTATCTGATCCTATATAAAAAAGTAATTACTCCACTTCAAATTGATGATTTTTGTAACCAAGGATGACAAGTGTTTGTGGTAAATGATAATGGGTTTTTTGGCCAAATTTTCTTTAAAATTTTTTAAATATTCAAACACTATAGAGGTTTTAGAGTACAGATTACCTGTTTTTTTTAATTGTTTTTTTTTTTTAACTTTATGTCAAAGCATTTTAATGAGATTTAAGTACAGACTTTCATTAGGTCACTCCAGAACCGTTAGGAAGCAGTAAAGGAGCCCAGATGATCATTTCGGATGATTTTCTCTAAATTGCTAAACTGTTTTTTTGTGAAACCTATTGTTCTCATTACTCTAAGAATAAATAAAAATATTTCAAGATGCTTTGGTCAGGTCAGCTTCAATTTTTTCCGAACACCATCTTTGCCCTATTTTTTTAATCCTTATTGTTGAAATTACATTAATTACATTAACTGAGGCAGGTAGACCTGATGATAGACTTAGACTTAGACTTGACTTTATTGATCCCTTGGGAAGACTCCCTCAGGAAATTATAGTTACCAGCAGCTCACAGGCAAAAATGTGGCACACAGTAAGCATACGCAAAAGAATACAAAAAAATACAAATTAAATACAAGGTACACACTAAATATAATAAGAATATAAATACAAAACAAAGAATATAAATACAACACAAAAGGAAATTATAGCAATTTGGTGGATAGATTGACCAGTGATATGGTATTGCACTGTATGGTTTGGCCTGATAAATATGGAGTTCACATTTGTAGAAAAACTACTCCTTCTTCCCTCTGTCCTGTGTCACCTCCGACCCCCCAGTGAGGAGTTGTACAGTCTGAAGGCGTGGGGGACAAAGGAGTTCTTGAATTGTTGTTGTTGTTCCATGTTTGTGAATCATAGGTTTCACTTTGTTATACTGAAGTGCCACAGGCTTACGAACATGTTTCAGTTATAAGCCTGTTATAAGCCTGGTGGGCTACCAGGCTTTACTTGTGTCCCCATCAGGCTAAGTATTGCTTTCTTTTTTTTGTGTGTGCATATTTTAGGACATTTTAGTTGGTGTTCAGGTACTAATCTTCCAATCTTTGAAAAATACATAATCATCAAGTGATATTTTCAAATTTCTTGTCAACTTTAAACTCAAAAACACGACGGGTCGCTGGATGATAGGCTCAGTAAGTTTTCTGGGGGAAACCTTGTGTTTGTAAATATTAGCAATTAACTTTTTTATATGTCTTTGTATGTCTTTAGTTTGTGTCATGTCATGTTGCTTTTTGATATCTTACCACTTACTTCATGTTGTTAGATAGGTTCTGGCTGGGTAATTATCTTATTTTAGTGACTTTGTGTGGCTGGTTAAGTTGAATCAAAATATGTTTTTCCCTTCACAGCTGAAATATTATGAGATTATTTCAGAACTGCTATTTGTATCAGAATAATCTTTCCCTCATGTTATTGTTTTTTTAATTATTAAAAACATTTAGAAGTAACAAAACAGAAAAAGAAGGAAGGTTTTCACAGGATTCTGTGTTGTTAAATGTGGAGCTTTAATCTAAAGGGAAATAAAAGCTGTACTTTTGCTTTTGCAACCTGAATTTCTCCTAATTTACCAGTGGATTTTTAAGAAGGAGTATATTCGTCATGTAGGCCAGAAACTGGGGCAGCACTTTTTTTCTTTTTTTTTTGCATGTATTGGTAAAAAGACAAAGAAGAAAAAAATTTATGACATCTGGAAACATGAAAAAAAGAAAAAAGAAAAACTCAGTGAGCCAAGTTGTGTGAGTAAATGAGATTTAATCATTTATAGGAGAAAGCATTGACTTTAAAGAACCAGCTTTCTGCCTGAGGATTACCAGCTGAAATAATCAGGAAGCAAATCAAGCTGTGAGTTTTATTGTCAGCCAAAGATGAAGTCAAAGTTTATTTATGTAACACATTTACAATCTCAGCTGACCAAAATGGTTCAAAACAACATTACAGATTAATGATAAAGCAGAAAATAAAATTAGTCTCTTTCATTTAGCATGCCTCAACAGTGTGGCAGGAGCCTCATTTGGCAAGGTTTTTTTTTTATGGCTATCACCTCTTCTGTCATGAATTGTGAGTTTGTGGATGGACCAAAATGCAGACAGGAGCTGGAACCATGGATTGAATGTTTCAATGATAAAACTGAAAACTTACAAAAAGCACAGGGAGCCAGAGCAGAACAAAAACAGGAACCAGGAACAAAAAGCAAGCAAGCAGAACACAAGACAAGATTTAACAGGAGGAACTAGCAAGGATCCTCAGCAGGAAAAAGATTTGAATAATGTGAGGATGAACTGAACTCGGAGAAAACAGATCTAATCAAATGTAGAGGATGAGGAACAGAGAATAATAATGAAACTAGAACCAAATGACCAAAACTCGAAACATCGCAGCATCCTTACAACTTTGTTAGTTTGTATTTCAGAACAGCCAGTGTGTCTATGTGAAAGATGAAATGATTTTCCGCACTATGAGCGCATGCTAGCTCAGCAGTCTGCTGATTTTAAAAGGCCTCTTTAATTCAGAGTCCAAGAGGTGCAGCGAGGCTGATGGAGGAGTAGAGACTGTCACTGCAGCAGCAAAAATGTCTTCCTACAGCATAACCTTGCTTCTATTCATTCAGTTTTCTTTCTTTTTTTGTTCTAACTATGACTTTAGGCACAAGAGCAGTCTGACCCACAAAAAGAGAGGAAGTATGTTGCTGATTTTTTTGCTACCTTCCTAAATATTAGCAGTACTATAAACTTTGCAGCTTATGGTGGAGAGCAATACTAAAACTGATGTGTTTCACAAATAACTGAAAAAAACACAAATAACTGAAAAAAACAGAAGATTTCACAGGTGTATTTAAATAAAATAACCGATAACAGGATGTTCTTCCCAGCCACGTCGTTTGGCTGCCTTAGCTGTACTTTCCCTACATGCTGCAGTGGTGTTTGCCTGGCGCTGACCTTGACCGTGCTGTTTGTGTAACCCGGGAACACGAAACACAGAGCAGAATCTCAGGATTGTTGGAAACAGTGCAGAGGATGTTATGGCTGCTCCTCGGTTCAGACGTTCAGTCTGTGATCCCACTGCTGCGTACTCAAAGCTGGGAACTAAATGTTAAAGTGGAACTTATGTTATTATGAAAAAAATAAAAACAACTTGCTCTTTACATCACTTTTCTTCTGTTTTCTGTTTCCTTATTATTATTTTCTGTACTTTTATGAAGGCAGCATAAAATCACTGCTACTTCCTGGAGCTGCCTGACCCTGATGATGTCTAGTGTAGAGTTACACCTTTCAAGCACAAGCAGACTGAATCCTTTATTGACAGTAATGTCACAGCAAGGACATGCTGGTGTCCTGTTACTGAGGCTTCAAGATCATAAATGTGAATAGGAGATGTTAAAGTAGCAGAATCCTATAGACAGTTCTGTAAATCAAAGGTTTCGTCACTAGAGCGTCTTTCACAGACATGAATTGTGATGAAAGTAGTTTGAGAATAAAATCTGAATGAATCCTAACATTAATATCAGACACAGACTTTGCATTTGATTAAAAAATAACTTCTTTTCAGCATTTTGTCAGAAGATAAACAAGCTTAATCAAAAGCATGCCCAAGCATTGACTAAAAGGACACACTTAAAGGCGTTATGACAGTTATAAATATTGGCACAAGTGTAACAATGCAACTTTTCAGTTTTATGGGTTTGCTCAGTACCTCCTGTGATTTTTTTTAGATTTGTCTTATAGCAACTAGCTGCAGTGGGAATCAATATTTTCAGCAAAAAGAAATCCCAATAACACTTGAAACGCCTTGATGAGCCTACAGCGAGCGCTATTTAGCCAATATTGACTTATTTCATGCGTAGGCTTAGTGAAATATGAAATTGCTACAATTTGTTGTTCGTAGCAAAACAAAGAACAAAAAACAAGTTTTACATTTAGATTCTTTGGTTAAAAAGAATGCTGCATATTGTTTTTATGTGCTGAGAACCCAGGTTTATTAACTGACAAGGTCACAATGCTTTATTCTGTCTTTAAATTTGCTATTTTAATTCCTTAAGTGTTGCTGCAGTCCTCACACACAAGCTTATACTTTTGTCTCTTTATATGAGCAAAAGAAATATGGTGACAATGTGGGTCAAACTTCTAGATTATTTACATCAAAATGTTTCATTGACTTTAAAATAAATTTAAACAAATACATCCAGAAAAATGATTCAGTTTGAAAAAAAAAAAAAAAAATGGGTGGGCACGAACAAAAGTCAGCCTGTTTTTATTTCTGAAGGTTACAGACAGAGTTGCTGCTGAAGACCAAACGCCTCACATGTTTCATCATGTCATCTCATCTCACCAACATCTCTTTGCTGTCCCAGGTGTTTGGTCTGCTCAGGGCCTGGAGATGTCAGTGGGAAAAGTTCCCTTCCTGGAAGCAGTGAACGGCAGCACAGTCATGTTGCCTTGCACATATGCCAGCTGCATCGGCATCAAAGACCTGTATTTTAACTGGCAATACAACGATAATGGCACAATGCAAAAGGTAAAGTCCTTCTGATTTCCATTCAGCATCTGCTAACTCGACGGTTGAGGTCTTTTTGCTCGACTGACGGCTTGCTGATTCCATCAGGTGTGTGACGCTGTGATACCGACAGAGGACTCGGATCCTGATGTGAAAATATTCAAAGACAGAGTGGAGTTTATCGGAAAGAACCACAAAAACAACGTCTCCATCTTGATATGGAACATCACCTTCGAGGACGGAGGCCTGTACACGTGCTTTGGGCGCAATCCCAAAGAGAAGAACAAGAACCACAGCGCAGTTTTCCACCTTATTGTTGTGAACGAATGTAAGACATTCTTGCATCAACATTTCTTGCTGGTATATAGTGATTTAGAAAAGTTTCAGACTTGCTCAATGTTTTGTTTTTACATTTTGTGACAGCGTCAGACTTCAATGTGTTTCATAGAAATTTTACTTTGAAAAGAAAAACATTTATTTTGTAACCTAAATATGCCTTCCTCTCATGCACTGAGGCTCTCTTCTTTGCAGGATGGCTAACTCTTCAAATGTTTTGTCATACGATTCATATTTTCTATGATTCTTTCTAAAGTTAAAATATCCACTCTCCCCTATCATCCTTCCTTGCCCTCAACTTGACCTTTACATTCCTGTAGTTGGAGCAAGGCTCCAGGTTGCACCATACTGCTGATGTATAGCAGACACTCTGCTATATTTTACCTGCTAATTAACGATGACATGCAGAGGCTATAAGAAAATACACAGTCTACAGTTAAAATATCCAAACACAAGCCATAATTGTACCAGAGTAGCTTCTTCTTCCACATGTTTTCTGTTCTCCAAATCAGTGGTCCCCAACTTTTACCACAGAGTGGTCAAAGCTTGGCGATTTTACTGTGGCCCAGGGGGTTGAGGAGGTTGTCAAATTACACAATTTTCAATTTTTTTGCTCCAATTTTCTCCTTATGACCAGCTCAACCTCCTGTGTGCTGTGTTACGTAGACCGTCAGGACCGCTCCGATCTAAAATCGGACATATTCAACATGTTGGGTTGTCTTGGCCCTTTTATCGCAGACTGTGGGGTGTTACTGTTAAGTCTTTCCTACATTTAGTTTATCACAAGAACAGAACCTGAAATTGGCCAATTTACAGAAATGGAGCAACTTGCCTGGGCTCTGTTGATGCTTCAGTAATATGCATACTCAGGTAAAAGTAAACCAGAACATGCATTTATTATCCGGAGATAAAGTAAAGTGGGCCACATCGATGACAAATGGAATCAGGCTGGAGAAAATAATAAGTTGTGTTTATGGTACACAGGGAATAGTAACAGATGTAATTGAAATGGTAAGCAAGAAGAATTTAAGACTTTAAGGAATGTAAATAAAAAAAAGGTATTCTGGTTGAATCATCTCTTTCCATTTTTCTGAGTATGTCTTTGTGATGACACAGATATAAATAATCTTGTCAAATGTTTTAAACTATCTCCTTCAATGTCTGCAGTAAGGGTGGTGGACAACACGCTGACCATCATTATAGCCTCGGCTGTAGGTGGAGCCATTGCGTTCCTGATGGCCTTCATGTTGCTCAAGAACTTCACTCTCTTTGTTCTTGCCAAACTTGAGGAGAAAAAGTGAGTTTTCAGTTTCTGGCATTTTCTAAAGATGGTGCAAATGTTTCATATTGTTTCATCACATGACGCCACCGCTGCTCGGTGGCATTTCAGTTTGAGCCGTACACATACTGAAGTTGTTTTCTTAAGGCTGCAAGTTTGTCTTTGAGGCGGTTTGATTTCTTCTGCCGCTCTAACGCGACCTCCTTTTCCGCTTCTCCCCGCCGCAGTAAGGAGTGCCTTGTCTCTTCTTCAGGGATCGACAACACTGAGAACGGCCTCTCAGGATCCAAAGCTGATTCCAAACCAACGCCAAAAAAGAAATGAGGCCGGGGGGCACGTAAAACTTAAACATGACTCAGCTTTAGATCATATTTGCTAATATTTCTAGATGCAAATGTGTTGATGGGTCATTGTGTCTAATTTAATAACTCTGGTCATGAAGTTTGAATGAGAAAACATACATTTTCACATAATGACACCAAATGTGCTATGAGTGGTAACTGTGCAAATGATATACAACTTAAGATTGTGTATACAAATTTTGCACAATTATGTTGTTCATTGCTTATGTTATAAAACTAACTTATTTAGGATGAATAGCTAAGCAACAAAGCATTACATCAAGTAATTCTAAAGTATGCCTGAAATTAATTTGTAGAGGAAAAATAAAATCAGATCTAACAGACCTGTTTCACAATTTGAAAAATACACGACATAGGACAAGCACACAGGTGTATTAATGTCCCTTTTCCACTAAATGAAGACCGCTCTAAGATTTTCCATTTCCTTCAACACTTTGGAATGACACTGAATCATGACTTTGCAATTGCTATTTTCCAAAGATTTTTAGTGTTTTAAGAGTAGAATACTATGTTTTCAGACAATCTGTGACTTTTCCTTGCCATTATTAGAGGTTTCTGAATCTCTAACATCAGTTTCAGCCATGGTGAAGAAGAGGAAACAACATAAGTATTTTTATGAGCCTATTGGCAGCATTTGTTTGTTTTTTTTTTACATAGCGCTGTGGGTTGCCCAGCACACCACCCTTTGCATCCTGAATTTTAATTAGGCACAGCACTTTGTGCACATACCTCTGATCAGACAGAAGTATCATGGACACAAACCGATCCAAAATTTGGGTTTTATTTACTCAGTTTTTTGAGTTTTTTGGAATACACCCTTCATTAATACACCTGTTTTTGTGCTACTATTCAGTTCAAACTTCTGCCACAGAGACATTGTTCAAATTTAGAATGTATGGCAATTATGTTGCCATACAACATAACTGCTCCTTACTCTTCCTTAGGTAGAAGAATATATCTTACTTGTGTAATGAGATTTGACTGAAGTAAGAATTTCCCACCAGCATCTACAAGCTCTTTATTCTGAAATCATGTTTTACACAATAAATTTCCCCCTCTTTTTTTTCCTTTAAATGATTCAAATAACAACCAAACAAATTATATTTTTATTTTGTCATTAAAAGGTGGTGCAAGTTATGAAAATGTGTAGCTACACAAGTAAAAAGAAAATCAAGTTGTATAGCATCCAGCATAGTTACTCGCTGTTTGTTTCCACCGAACATCCACTGCCATTTTAGGCATAAAAAAATATATTTGACTGTTCTTCATCCAAAGTCAAAACACAAACCTTAATTTAATTGCTTTAGGCTGAGAAAATTTAATACAATTACAGCTGGAATGAAGCCCCTTGAAATAAACACCAAATCTCACATATTAATAATGTGTAAACAGATAATTCTGTTTATATTCAGTATTTTTCTACATAAATTTGTCATATGTTTAGCTTTAGAGAAGGAAAGAGGGCTTTAACTAGTTTTAATGCAAATATCATAGTATTGTAGAATTCAGCCTAGTTTTTTCATGCCATATCTCCTCCTTGCTTGAAAACAACACATGTGCCTGTTAAAGCAGAAAAGCTTTAGTATTCAGTAGGATAGCTAAATATTGCAAAAACAGTTTTTAAACCCCTAACTGTTACAAGACAACAAGCTTTTACATCAAAATGATAGACAATCTCGCAATATCTAGATAAATGAATACCATTCAGAGGATGCTGCTTTTCAAATAAATACCCAGAGCATGTGCAACATGGGCCAGATTTTAGATCTAATGCTTAAATATAACATATAAAGAGATATAAATATACTTTAAGAATACTAACACTGGTAGTGTCAGGACTGAAATGAATTGCAAACCAATTTCATGCTATGCTAATGCCATTAAGCTAACCCTGTCTGGGCTAAGCAGTAGTTGCTGTAGATGCGAGAGAAAACAGACCACTTCCTTACACTGTAAAATCTGCTGGGTTAAAGCCAATTCAGTACAGGTTATGCTGTCTGTCCTGGGTTGAATATGGACTGATCCAGCCACTGAGCAAAAAAGGGTTTTTTGTCTTGGGCCTGAATTTTCCAACCAAAAACATTGCTAATAGGTCCTCAGTGAAGGAATTAGCTCTTGATCATCCAAAATGTTATAATTTCATCACCCAATTTATGATGCATTTGGCATAGTAGGAAAGGAAATTGGCACTGTTGGGGGAAAAAAAGGAGAAAAACAATAAAAATGTGGTTTTGAATTTGAATTAACTTATAAGTTTTGCCTGTTTTTAGTGTGAAGCCCTCAACCCTTCTCCTTTATTCAACACTACCTAAAAATTGGTTGAAGAAATCTTGTCTATAGAGACTTTGTGACTAATTGTTTGGTAAAAGTGTGGATGTTAATACTTAGCAGATAAAAGGCTATTATTGAATGAATGTGTTCTCTACTGTGAAATAAAGACAATGATCTACACCACAGATACAGACATTTTTCTAAATTATCTTTTTTTTCATTTTACAAATTTCTATTTAATCTTGTGTAAGAAGTTCAGTGAACTTTAATCAGATTATTCTAAAATATCTATTGAGAATGGCAGAGTTCCTAGTTTCTTCTTTGGTCTTCCTGCCTGAGTAAAATTTTTTGACCAAACTTTTGGATAAAATAACTCGAATTCTGTTTAAGAAAAATAACCCAGCAGTTTTTATGCGTGTAATATTGGGAGGGATAATGTTTGAGGTTTTTTAAACACAAGTACTGATTTTATTAAAATTAATTTCTAATTTAGAACAAAGACAGAAAGCATCCTTAAACTAAATGTTATTGAGTTTGTTGATGTTGCAAATGTCAGACGGTAGGCTGAGTGGAGGGCTCACAGTTCAAGTTTATTGCACAAGAAAAAAAGGAAGATGATGGTTTCATTGTCGCAGCTTTTGTGAGACAGAAAAGTTTCCAACAGAGTTTTGCTTTATGGGGAGATCAAAACCTTGCAAAGTACAATTTTAAGTAGCTGTAAGAGAACAATGGCTTAAAAATACTTATACTTAATCAAGAAATTGGAAGACAGGTGCATGTAAACTAAATAAGACAGTACTGTAAAATGAAATGTAATTTTCTGATGGTTTCCTCATTGCTTTGTAAAAAAAAATAAAAATAATTAACGTGCCTCAATCTTTAAATAATAGCTTGAAGCAATATTTTAATGGGGTACTCTGGGCTCTTTAAGAAGATGTATATTTTTGTGTATGTGTAATCCAGATTGGATTCATCTTTCACATTGTTCATGCAAGTGCAACGCAAAAAAGCAAAAACAAACAGCACAAAAATGTGAGACCATCAGTGGCGGATCTTGCATGTATGGGGCCCTGGGCAAGCAACCACTCCCGCTAGTCAACTGTTTGTTGACTAGCAACAGGTGCAATATTATATTTTCTGCTTCCATGGTACACAATACATTGCAAGTTTGTGAAGAGAAAATGTCTTCAAATTGTTCGCTTGGCGTAGCTAAAACGAAGAACTCCAGCTAACCGTGGAATAAGTGGAGAGAGGCTGTCTTGCATTGGGACAGTTTGATTGACATCTTGTACGACCATAACTCCTGAAAACCATCCAAAATGCAGGAAATAATCAGAAGTTATGGTTTGGGGGGAAAAGGCAGTGCAAAAAGCAAGTAACCTGTTCTCTATTGGGTACATGCATTTCAAAAACAATAGAAAAAATGTACAAGGTGCAACTGACAGATAAAAAAAAAAGTCATATCACAATTTGTTATGATCCTCCTGCACCTCATGTTCTAATGCCGCCCTGGGTTACTGCCCATGTGGCCCAAAACTAAACCGCCACTGGATGCCGTCATCGCTGGCAACCAAACCATACATGATTTATTTATTTATTTATCTTCTCTCTCTATCTCTCTTTTTTTAAAGCTGACTGACTTTTGTTATTTAGTTCTAGTTCACTAGTTTATAAATTTGTTCAGTTCCTAGTAAAAAAGTAAAAACAATTTGTACAAAAGAAAAGTTAGATAGAGAGTGATTTGTTCTGCAGAGACACTCCACCCATCAGTAGGAGAAATCGATACATTTAAAAAGTCCAGTTTTTACTGTGCCTGTGTTGTTCTCTGACTTTGGAAACATTTATAAAGATTTAGCCAAATAATAATAATTAATTTAAAGTGGGTGAAGTTTCTCTGCTAACTTTAAGGAACTTTTACAGTGAATTGTTTTTTTTTAAATATCAATTTTTTAAATTACATTCTGAAAACAATATCAACCATCTTGTCAAAACAAATGTGATAGTGTATGCAACTCTATGCAAATGACAGCAGGACCTCTGATTTACTGTGACAGCTTCGATACAGCAGTAGTTACCTTAGGTATGTGCGCTGCGGTTATGACATGCAGGCGGGATCCAGAACCCCCTGAACTGGAACAGAAACTGAGAAGCCTGTGGACTCTGTTGCTTCTCTCCCTACTGCTCTCTGCATTTAAATATACAGCTGTAACGCTCCAGCCTGCACTTAGATAAAGTCACTGTTTCCAACATCTCTTATATGCATATCAGCTCTGTTTGAAATTAATAAAGTTTTTAATATAATCTCTGTTGTTTTGTTGTATATTTAGGGATACACTGCTTCCAGGCCACAGAAGTAAATTAAACTGTTGATGTTTTTAGCATGCAAAAAACTTAGGTAAAGAGTAAACTCATGCAACAGAGAGAGAACCTTAACACTAAATTTCTCCATCCCTTAATTTGTTTGATATATTTTAATGATTCATTTCTGAATGAACAATACACATCTCTACAACTTAAATTGGACCTATAGTTATGCATAGAGTGAAATTTTACGACAGCCTCCCACCTATTATTTTTTCTAACATAAAGTGGACATGTGGACAGTATAAATTAGAACATTACCAAAACTTTCAAAGAATTTAAATAACTGGTAGTTATATTGAAGATAAGAAGAAAAGTTATATTGAAGAAAAGAAGAAAAAGTAGAAAAGCAACTTTTACCTCTGCACAAAACAAGGGATTTCAGTCGCTTTAAATAAGGTCACATTTATTCTTAATTAAAATTGCTAAAAATATTCAAAGGGGGTGTCAGATTAGGAGTACACAATTACAACATCGCTGGCAGGCATTCTACGGTAACTACTTATGAGTCTGGCAAGGTGTTTAAATGTGTTAGAAAAATTTGTAATTAACCAACTGTACAGAAAGTAGTCCACAAGTTGAAAATATTCAAACTCTGGCTATCCAAATAACTTCACTGTAAGAGTAAAAGGAAAAATTCTAAAAGAAGTCTACAACGGGTTCTTACTACTTCTGATAGGAAAGTGCATGACCATCAGAAAGAGGCGACACAAGTTTATATTTTATGAGAGGTGTGCAAGAATTAAATATTTGTTCTCTAGGAAATCCATAAAGCCAAAGACCAGAATGTCTCAAAATCTGGAATAATAATCAGAGAAGAGAATACGTTTAGCCAGATTTCACACATATGAACCATATTTTATTCTAAAATCAAGAGTGCTGCAGTAAAGTAAAAGTACCAAAGGGTGGCAGCAAAGGACAAAAAAAAAATTTAAAACCGTTTTAGAACTTTACTAAGACTGTTAGATTCGAGACTTGTTGACACCAGTCAGGATAAAAAGGACTTGCTTTTGACGTTTTTCTTTTAAATGTGTTTTATCATAACATAATGCCAAAAAAGGAAAAAATCCATTAATTCTGCAGAAGCAAATATTACAGCCCATCAGTTTGGGAAACGTTTTGCCATTTCTATAAAATATTTTCAAGTCAAGCGGAACTTTATTGTCATTGTACCAACACGTAGGCTAGACGAAACTTTGTTCTCTAAAGGTGCGTCGGCGTTAGTGTTTTAATGTTATTTCTATCTGTTGAGCCTGTTGTGCCATTTGGAGATAAATAAGATTCAACAGAAACTATACAATGTCAGTGGAAGAGCATTCTTCTTTTAATATATACATTGCCTACTTTAAGAATTAATTTTATGTAAAGATTAATATTGTAGAAATAGATTAATATTGTAAAAATAACTCAAGAAAAGGTACATTATGTCAGAATGTATTATTTTGTTTTCATTTGTCCTAAAAAATATTTTAGCCTTTAATATATCAAACTTTAGAGATAATTTTGTTTTATCTGTTTATGACATCATTTTAAAATATTAAATAAGATTAGCAGTTAGTACCTGACTAGCCTTTTTACCAAATATTTTGGGTTTACTCTTACCTAAGTCATTTCCTGGAAAGGTTTAGTTTTATTTGGGTAAAAATATGTTGAGTAGTGTTACTCTTGCTACCTCTGCCTGTTGCCTCATTTGCAGGGTATTTAATGATATTATTAATATTCAAAACACTATGAATAAACCCAATCTTCTCTTGTTTGTCTGCAGATGTAGTGCTCACTCTTGCCATAGACATATTAAGGTCTACCGTTCTGCCACTACAACTTAGCTGACCTTAATATTTTCTGTGTTTTATTTTGGTCATTATTGTTTCACTTAGTGAAACAATAATGTCGGACATTTATAGAAGTATTGAACGAATCGTATCGGTTCACGAAACATTTAACAGCCGAATACAATTCCATATTTAAGGGGATGGGTGGTAACCCCATGACCTCATGCTAACATTGGCCTTGTATCTAAAATAAAAGGCATTTTACATAATTTCTTACATACTAGCTATGTTTATTATACTGAATAGATTAAGTCACTGTAAATTAACATGTTGGTGCCACAAGTTACCGACAGCATTAAGCTTTCCTTAGCATTTTGGATAATTTTAATATACACTAATATTACCATCCTGAGCATTATGTCAGTAGCACATGTGATGTCACAAGCATGTTTACTTACATTGACTTAACCCATTCAGTATGGTAAATGTTGCGAATAAATATGAAATTATGTAAAATGCTTATTTTAGGTACAAGGCTAATGTTAGCAGGATGGCTATCATTAGCATATAGAGTCACTAGCATATCGATATCACTTGCCAATTAAACTAAACTTGGGGTTTTGCATAATTTTAATTTATACACTGATGTTAGCATACTGAATGGAGTAATTTTGTGTTAGTCAACATGCTAACGATGACCCACATCCTACTGGTAGCATCTATGTTAAAAACTGTGTCCGAATTCAGGGTCTGCATCCGGGTCCTTCGAAGACCGCGCATATCGACGACCGGAAGAGAGAGGCTATGAATTCGGACAGGTTTAGCCTTCAGCTAGCAGCCTAGCCTCCGCCTCAGCGTAATATATGTTGCCTAGCAACCGTGACAGCGAGAAGCACAGAGCTGCAAAGGAAAAAAAGGAGCCGAAGTTTGTTTTAGCCATTTGTACTCCTTCTGTAAATAATAATAATATATAAATTGTTATTTATGAGGCGTCTACGTATTCATGCCTATGAATATTGGCACAATAGAAAGAGCAAAGTCAAGGGAGGAGACATTAGACCAGCAGCAGGGATGATTTGTTAAAAGAGACTTGCAGGTTTCAGGGACAAACCAGGCAGGTATCGACACGGGTTTTTTTTCTGCAAATATTTCACTCTCCTTCACGCTTCAAAATATGTATTGTCTGTATTATAAACTGGCATAGGCAGCATACTGTTTCTCTTTAGATCGGAAAAATTAGCTTCATAATATCTTTAGCACTTGAGCTAAAGTTTATGCTAATCTAATCTCAGCATTTTCTGGTGAGTAATTATGCTTACGTGTCACTTTTTACGACATTATTGTTGATTTTGTATTGATAAACAACATGGCTATTTCATTTGAAAGGTTAGATACACATTTATTTGTGTATTTATGGAAAACAATAAGTTTAGCCTGTACACATATGTTGTTCCAAATTTGACCAGCAGATGGGACCATTGAGCCGCAGGATGGATTTAGACGCTTGGATTTCAGATGCCAGAGGCAGCAGAGAGCGAACCGTGGAAAAAACTTCAGGTGATCTCTGAAAAATTGGGGCTACAACTAACATGTGTTCGTATCTGCAGTATTACAGCAAGTTTTATTATCTCTGTTATATTTCACTGTTTTTAAATGTCGCCAGAAAGTGCAAACGTCCTCAGCACTGTGAATCTGCAAGAACTTTATCGTACCAATTAAAGCAAGCCTATTGAGTTATACTTGAGTTACGAGCATGAAGGGTTTTTTTTATTATTATTATTTTGGAGAAAAAAATTCAACAAAGTGATGTAAGTCTTGAAACGATCAACTCCAAGCGGGCGGATCCAGACATTTTTCCCCTGTAGTGAGGTGAAGAAATAATAGTTTTCAAATAATTTATTGCGTCATTATCAGTGTTTACTTTGTGTTATTTTGATCTTTGTGGGTTTTGCAGCACAATATGTTGATATTTAACATTTAATAATTTTTTGTACCATGATATGAAATATTCAGTGAGTCTGGGAGGGTCCTGCAGCTTTCATTCCTTCATCCACTTATGCAGTGCAGCGGTTCTCCTGAAATTGGGCAGCAGCTGAAAGAGAAAACAGATTTCCAGAAAGTTGCTCCGTCTTTGAGAGCGTCCCTGTACACTCAGAAAAATTTGACCAATGGTTACTCAAAAATTGAGGCAACAAAGTGACACGTAATATAATTGAGTAGATTTTATGTTCTACAATATGAGTAAAAAGTATTGAATATTTTAACTTACTTAACTTAAAAAAATCAAGCACATCTTAATAAAAGCAACAGCTGAAATGTGTTGGATTTAGTAATATCAAGCCAAATGATAAGTTATATTGACAAAAAATATTTAGTAAATCCAACTCAATTTTACAAGGAAAAATTATTTCTATTTACTAAGTTTCTGAGAAAAGATTATTTAGATTTATGAAATATCTGTGGGAAATTGATTCATATTTACTGTTAATCTAGGTGAAATTAATTTTATATTTATTAATTAAATGGCTGAAATTGATTTGGATTTACTAAAGATCAGCATAAAAATTATTTGGATTAAGTAAATAATATAAATGATACCAACTCATATTTTAGCACATTATTGCTTAATTCAACACATTAACACTGTTGTTCTTAGTCATTTGTAGCTAAAATAATTGATAAATTCTAAGTTGTTATTTGTGTCATAGGACTTCAAATCTATTCAATAATATTGAGTGTCACTTTGTTGCCATAATTTTTTTGAGTCTAATTTACACAATATCCTGACCAAACTTGAGTGGCATCAAAAAACAACAATTAAACAGCAGCAGCATTTCTTGTGAAACTTTATAAAACGTAATTATCCAGCACCCAACAAGTGCAAAATTCCAAAATACAACAATGAAACAGAGAAGGGGCAATATACAATATATCAGTATCAAGTCAAAACATAGTGCCACTCTGCTCAAAGTATAGTTAACATGATTTTTTAGAACCATCACATCAACAACCATCAACATGGACTAAGTTAAGCTTGCTTCAACAATTTATCAATCACATTAACATAGTTAACTTTATGTTTAAGAGGCATGCAGAGCACAACACAAGTATAAATCTTACCTGGGGAAAACAC